AGAGATTGTTGTTCTGTGCAAATGTTATTGTACAAAATGTACAAGATTATATTAACTAGTCTATAAATAGGAGGCAACTGGCAGCTCCCACTTCATACCACCCACTAACTTCCACTGCCATGATGGAAACCTCTTATTTAGTACAATCTAGTTCGTATTGACAGTTAAGACTCTTTTTTTGACCACTGCCAATGAATTTCTGGATTTACTTTAAATCTTATATATATATATATATATATACTTTGTATTTAAAATACTTCCGTGAATAGATTGAATCTTTTCACTGAAGCTGATGTCCTTGATCATTCATTATTTCAAGGATTGTTTTTGTTCTAAGTGTCCTGTTACGTGTGACCGTCTGTCGATCCAACGCTGATTAATCAGTACAAATCAGTTAATATTTATCTCGTCTGTTCTGGATCAGAAATATGTGCTAGGACATTTGAGTCCACATCAAAGCTCCGACACGGTATTTTTGTTTTTCTGTTGCCGTTTATGAAAGCTCCGTTAAAAAGCAGATAAAATACAAAGACACTTTTCTGCTCCAGCTTCTTCAAATCCAATTCATCCTTCCCCAGCAGCACTGTGCTTGTAATCCTCTCCATATCTGACAAGAAGCTGTAAAGATTTACTGCTTATAGGTAAAATATTCTCACAGATTTTATTCTTCATGAAAATAAATTCTACCGCCTCAGTTCTGTGAAAGTTTGGTTACCGTGGAAAATGTAAATAAAAACAGATTACGATGATTTGCAAATCTCATAAGTCTGCATTTTATCCACATTAGGACACAGTCAACATATTAAATGATTACAATAAAAAACTGTACCGTTAATAATTATCATCATGTTTTTTTTATTTTTTTTATTGTACTCTTTTAATCCCCAATGGGGAAATTAATTTTCTGCCTTTTTCTCGTTGTACATGTGAAGCAGTGGGCTGCCTGGGAGCAGGTGGTGGGGGGTAAGGGCCTTGCTCAAGGGCCCAGAGTGGGGCAAATGAGGGTGGAGACAGGTGTGGGCGTTTCACCTTTTCCACCCACATTTTGATGTTGTCGGCCCGAGGAGTTGAACCGGGGCGTTGACCGGCAACCCTCTGATCACAGGTCCACCCTTTCTAGCCTCTGCACAACACTCCCCCTATAATAATAATATAATAATAATCATTATATTATTATTTTATCATCATCATCATCATCATGATCATCATTATCATCATTGTTATGTTTTCTTCATGCTTGTTTCTGTTGACATTCAATTAATTGAATTTAGATCCTGGACCAAATTGTATTCCTAAGGCTCTGAAGGGGAGATGGTACTTTAGGAATCATTCAGTTTATTTATAAAGCACCAAGTCAGAACAGAAGTCGTCTCAGGGCGCTGAACAGAAACATTCATATATAAAAATAATAATTTAACATTATTTATCTGAGGAGCAGACTGCTTTGAGTTTAACTCCATCACAAAACTTTCATCTTGAACAAGCATGAAGGTGACAGGGGAAAGGAAAGACTCCCTCATGAGGAAGAAACCTTTAGCAGAACCAGCTCAGGACAAGCTCCATCTGCTTCGACCGGCTGGGTTTGGTAAGAACAGATACACAATGGCAGGTCAAGAATCACATGTTGAGATAGAAATAGAATCAAACTAAACAATTAATTTATGGAAATGAGGTCAGTTTGTCCTCCAGTAGTCTAAGCTTATGACAAGCCAACCCTAACTATAGGATTTATCAAAAAGGAACGTCTTGAAACTGGACAACGTGTCAGCCTCACAGACAGAAACTGGAAGTTGGTTCCACAAGAGAGGAGCCTGATAACTGGAAGATTTTCCTCCCATTCTACTTTTGGAAACTCTAGGAACCACAAGTAAGCCTGCAGTCTGAGAGCGAAGTGCTCTGTTAGTAAAATATGGAACAATAAGATCTGTAATAGAAGATGGAGCTAGGTTGTTGAGAGCTTTGTAGGTTAGAAGTAAGATTTTGAATTAAATTCTGGATTTGACAGTGAGCCATTGGAGAGAAGCTAAAATGGGAGAGAGATTATCTCTCCCAGTAGCTCCAGTTAAGACTCTGGCAGCAGCATTTTGGATCAACTGAAGACTTTTTAAAGAAGTATTTGGACACCCAGATAACAAACCATAATATACTGTAATGCTCTCCATAATATGTTGGCTGATCTTCTGGATCTCTTGGATGTTGATGTTTCCTGGGATCCTGTTGGGGAATCTCTTCAGTCCTTTCTTTATGAGTCCTAGAGCTCCCATGACCACAAGTATTGTTTTGGTTATGTCGTTCCACATCCTGCTTATCTCATTTTTCAGATCTTTATACTTTGAGAGTCTCACAGAGGTGTTTCTTTCAGGTGGTGTTGCCATGTTAGTTAGCATGCATGTCTTGTTCTTGATGAAGTGTCTGGTTCGTTGGTCTGTCTGGATTGGCATGTCCCAAAGGATGGTGACATCTTGACTTTCTATGACTGGCTGTGGCTGATATCCATACCATTTTCAGAACTGGGACCCTGTGTACACATACTCGTTCCAGCATGTGTACCACATGGGGTGCAAATGACAAATAAAGAACCTTGAATCCTTGAATCCTTGAATTTTTCTCTCGTTTTGATCTTGAATTCTCTGCAGATCTTCCTGTGCAGATATGCTGCTGCCTCATCATGCCTCGGGTTAGTCTCAGTTTTTGTTAATTCTGTGTAGCCTGAGATGATGTGGTTGATGGTCTTGTCATGTTTTCCACATCTCCTGCATGGCGAGTTGGTCCCAACGTTCATGATGCAGTGTGATGGGACCTCGTAGCCAGGCTCTGGTCTTGTGCTGATCATATTTTTATTGTTGTTATTATTAATTTTAACGTTATGGCAGTTATGACAGTTTTCAAAAATTGTTGCATGTTCATGTTCTCACCACAGCTAAGCACCTCTCTCTTTTACCAACAGTCTGTAAATGTCCAGGATCTGAGGAGACCAGATGTTGGAGGTTTTGCAGGGAATCTTGTCCCATTCTGGTTTGATGTAGGATTATGTCTGTTCAACAATCCTGGGTCTCATTTGTTGGATAAGTTGTTCTAAAACCTGTCAGTGTGCATTTATAGCACCTTTCTAGCTGTGTAAACTGCCCAGTGCACCCCTATATCATTAGAGAGGCAGGTTTTTGAACCGTGTATTGATAACAGGCTGGGTGGACCCTCTCCTTTCTACCCTAATATCTTCTACTGTGAGTAAAATATTGGTTCAAGAGTTTTGTAAATGATTTAATCCTATTTTAATTGGCATTTTACATAATGTCCCATCTTTTTCAGAACTGGTGTTGAACTAAATCTCATGTATTTTGTGCAGCAAGCAATCTCTTTGGGATTTTTTTTTAATAGGTAGCAATTTCATAGGGTGTGAAATTTGTCTGTTTTGCCAAACAGAAAACACAAACAAAGATGCAGGAGCAACACAAAAATGAATAAAAAATAACATGTTTAAAAATACTCTTGAGTTGATCATGTTCGTCTAACCCAGAATAGGAAAGAAATATCTATATATAGAAAACTGAACTGTTTTTCTATTTCATTTCAACATTCTGGACTTCCTGCCAATTCCCCAAAAGACACTTCCATCTTCATGCAGTGAAAGTGGCTCGTCAAAACTGATCAAAACCTCTCCTGATCCCTTGATGCTTTCTTGTTTTTTACCTACTTCTTCAGGCTCATCCATCTCTCCTGCTGCCGTTCTCTGCTGTGCTGTCATCAACCGATTCATTCATCTATTCATCTCTGGAATAAGTCTCTGCTCTTTGATTTGTTGTTGTGAAAGGCGTGCGTTTTCAGCACCACCGAGTATTTATTTCAGTTTACCGTTTAAACTGGATTCCACAAAAATAAACATGTAAAAGTGAACGTTTGAAGAGTGATCTAAGGTAATTTATGGATAAATTGTACACAGCTGACCAGTTCGTTCCATGGATTTTAAGGACTCTTCATTTTAATTATGCTGGAAAGTGATACCCAACATAAAAACTGGCACTTTGCATAAATGAATCTTCTTTTAATTGTGCTATTGGGTGAAGTGGTAACATTACAGCCTTTTGTTTCACCATCGCTGTTCTTCTGTATTCATTGGCATGCGTTCCACCTGCCACGCCAGAATACGGCAAAAATTCTTCTGCTTTCATGTAAATATATTCAGAGGGAACGTGGCGTTATGGCATCCCATGAAATCCTCGCTCCATCTCCCATCCTCGTCCTCTCTGCTGCTTCTCATCCCAATATATTTCTCCATCTGCAAATGCAAATTAACCAAACAGGATCTGCTGTGCTCCCGTTGCCAAATTCCTTCCCAGTGTGGATGGGCTCACAGTTGGATTATGTCATGATTGCCCAAAACAATCAAACCCTGCAGATTGAAGTGGTGCATCATCATAACCTTGAAAGACCTTCACTGGCAGAAAGAAAGGAGTCAAGAGGGCCAAGGTGTTAAAACTGTGCAAACAGCATCCCCTGTCGACCACGTGGAGGAAAAAAATAGAGAAATATGCACATTTGTTTAGTTTTGATCACATGACATTCTAAATTGATTTAATTATCTGATGTATTTTTTACATTTAGAGATTATGCTAATCTAGACGTCTTATAAAAGCTAATCAGCTGTAGGATAGCGACATAAAATATTTTTCTGAATGATGAACTGGGATGGGACAAGTTGAAATATAGTATAATCAGATATTTTGACTGATAACACATCATTATTCAAGAAACAAGGACAAGTCCAGAAAAGAGCTGCTCTTAAATTGATAAAATTTGAGTTAGCTGATTATTTTGTGTGTTTTGTCTGCTTTTAAGTTTGTTACATAAATGTTAAAACGCTCTAAATCCATTATCTTCTCAATGACTTTAAAAAAAAACGCAGACTTTTATTTTGAGTAACGCCGTTAAAAATAATACAAAAAGATGGGGAAAGAGTTTTATTTTGAAAAGCTTAATTTCTTACCGGAACTTCCGTGTTTCGTCCGTTTTTTTTCGTCCGCTGCCGGAGTGTGTTGTCGTTTATTTCAACGTAAATAACCATGTCTATAGAAGTGGAATCCGCGGAGTAAGTTGGCATTTAAATTACTAATAAAGCATATTTGTTTTTAAGATACAATTACTGCGAATAACTCCACAATATATTGAAATGGTGTTGGTGAGGCCTTGTCATCCTGAGCTGCAGGAGGCTAACATTAGCGTCTTGTGCTAACAAGCTAGCGTCTAGTTCAACCATTGCAACTATTTTTATGCTTTTAACATAGCCGACATGGGTTGTTTTTATGGTTGAAGTTAACTGTTATTTTTTAAGTTGACATTTTCACTTGTTTCATAATGATTTACTTCTCCGGTGCGGGTTTGAAAGACAAGCTGGAGGTAAAGTTAGCATCAGTCCACGTTTACGACCATTCATAACTTCTGCTGCAAAGTCTTTTTTTTTTTAGACACAAACGTTAGACTAATTAAATGCGAACTATTTAAATGCAATATATGGACCAATTTAGTGCTAATAATCTACTGAGGAAGAAGGTTGTAGTCATCTTTCTCCGTATACAAGTTTGATTCTGCAAACTGCTGAACTGTTTATGAAAATATTGAATGCTGAAAATTGTATCACAATATTTTAGAGTTTAAAGTATTAACAGTATTTATTGTAAATGACATGCACCTGTCTGTGTCATGCCTCCTATTTCTGCACATTTTCATATGGTCCATCCCAATCAGTGAATTGTTGTCTAATTTAATTATTTTCAAGCAGTGATGAAACTTTATTTTGGTTTCTAAAACATATAATTTAAGCTTCACATCAGCATATTTATTTATTCAAATGTAACTAAATTATGTAACTGCATCATAGACCTTATTAACATCAGTGAACCTTCAAACTGTTTTTTGCAGACTGCTCCTCAGTTAAATAGTGTTAACTTTTTATGTAGATGGATATTTCTGTTCAGTGCCCTGAGATGACTTCTGTTGTGACTTGGCGCTATATAAATAAGCTGAATTTAATTTGAATGCATCTCCGAGCTGCCGGCTTATTTACATTTGTGACATTTGTTTTTTCCCCAGTGTGGTCCGTTTGATTATGCAGTACCTAAAGGAAAACAGTCTTCACCGGACTTTGGCCACACTACAGGAGGAGACCACCGTGTCTCTGAACACAGTGGACAGCATAGAGAGCTTTGTGGCAGACATCAACAGTGGCCACTGGGATACTGTCCTGCAGGCCATTCAGTCCCTCAAACTACCAGATAAAACCTTGGTAGACCTTTATGAACAGGTGTGTTTTGTTGGTGTGTTCTGTTACTTTGTCCTGTTGACACACTTTCCTCCAACACTGATGACATTATTAAGAATTTTGAGGCCCATTATTGCCTTATTTTGTTAAACAACTAGTTAAAGGCTTTCTGAAAAGTCAGCTGGCAGATAAGAAGACTTAAGGACTCGGCATACTCCATCCAAAGTCGAACAGTCGACTCGTTGTCATGTGGTTGCAGGAGACTCACGGAGCAGAGCTCCTGGGAAACCCCTCCTGCTGCCGTATACTGCACAGCACGGGTTTCTTCCCTCCAGAGTCTCCACTTTGTCCCTTAATCTGCCGTTTTGCCACAAATCTATCACGAAGAAAGCGCCACACTTTTCAGCAGACAGACTCCTCCATACACATGCACGTTCTCCATCCAGGAGTTTTTGGCCATTTGACTGGTTTAGTGTGTTTCTTTAGTTGTACAGTTGAGTGTCTGAGCACATTTCCACATTGACAAACACGCTTACAAACTTCTGATCAGTCACACAATCCTTGGCACATACGCCTGTGACGAGAAGTTTGTCCTGGGTGTTGTGTCAGTAAGGGGTGGGCGAAACTACTCTGAAAACAAAGTGACGTGACTTTCATCGTGCAGCTACGTCGATGAGATGATTTTGCCGTTTCCGATGGAGTATGCAAAGCCCTTAACTCTTGCAAACTGAAATCTGAATAAAGATCATCACATATCTTCCTTGTTCTTCTATCTTTAATCATCAAACGAACCTCTTAGCCGTGTTTTGTTTTAATCAAATGTTTTGTGTGTTTTTTCCTGACAAGGTTGTCTTAGAGCTTATAGAGCTGAGAGAGCTCGGTGCGGCCCGTTCCCTGCTCAGACAGACGGACCCCATGATTATGCTGAAGCAGACGCAGCCAGAGAGATACATCCACCTGGAGAACCTGTTGGCTCGCTCCTACTTCGATCCGAGAGAGGTGAGTCCAGAATGCACGTTCAGCAGGACTTGGTTGTCTCTGGACTGTCTCACATCAGGAAGTCCAGCAGCAGATTTTAGTTTAGTCTGCTTAAAACTAAAATCTTTGTTACTGACTGATCCACAGGGAGATATTCAGATTTGCTACGCATGACTTTGCTTTTCTTGATTTTTTTTTCATGAAATAGTTTATTTACCAATTGCATATATATTTTTTTAGATTTATAAAACTTGGCTACAATAAATCATACATGTTAAGAATCAAACTGATTTGTTTTTCTCTTTAAATTTGTATTGACTAAATTCTGTCCAGGCGTACCCAGATGGCAGCAGTAAAGAGAAGCGTCGTGCAGCAATCGCTCTAGCTCTGGCTGGCGAGGTCAGCGTGGTGCCCCCCTCTCGTCTCATGGCTCTACTGGGGCAGGTAAGTAATCTTAAACCTGCAGGGGCTTTCCTCGAGCTTCTCAATAATAAGTTGAAGCTTTGTTCACACAGATGTGTAGCAAACAAGAGGAGTTTTAGTCTTGAGCTGAGATAAAAATAAAACTTTGATTTTTCTTCTTCAGGCTCTTAAGTGGCAGCAACATCAAGGTCTCCTGCCACCTGGAATGACCATTGACTTGTTCCGAGGTAAAGCTGCAGTCAAAGATGTGGAGGAGGAGCGCTTTCCCACTCAGCTAAGCAGGCACATCAAGGTGCCCACACAGACCCTAAATTTAATTTGCTGGAACAAACAGCAACTTGACTGGTGAGTTATTTTTCTTTTTGTGCAGTTTGGACAGAAGTCTCACGTGGAGTGTTCTCGGTTCTCCCCTGATGGTCAGTATCTGGTTACTGGTTCCGTGGATGGCTTCATTGAAGTCTGGAACTTCACAACAGGCAAAATCAGAAAGGTCAGAAGAAATCCCAGATTCACGACATGAGAACGAATGTTTCCACATTATTTTTTTTTGTGTGTAATTATTGGTCTGTGTTGTGCAGGATCTGAAGTATCAGGCTCAAGATAACTTCATGATGATGGATGATGCAGTCTTGTGCATGTGCTTCAGTCGGGATACAGAAATGTTAGCCACTGGAGCCCAAGATGGAAAAATCAAGGTGACCTTTACTCCTCTGTTGTGTATTTGTGCTTTATTACAAAGCGCTTGTTTACAAATGAAATGTGCGTTTGTCTGATTCAGATTAGTCTCATGAATAGTTGTTGATCCATTTTTTTTTACTCAAGTATACTTTTCACATAATTTGAAACTTGGATTAACTCTAATTGAGACTAGGTAATCCTTAAACGCACGCCACACTCTGTTCGTGTGTCTGCAGGTATGGAAGATCCAGAGCGGTCAGTGTCTGAGGAGGTTTGAGCGGGCCCACAGCAAAGGGGTCACTTGTGTCAGTTTCTGTAAAGACACCAGCCAGCTGCTCAGCGCCTCCTTCGATCAGACCATCAGGTAAACATTTCTCGTTTGTTCCTAACTCACCTGTATGTGAAGGTGGGAAGAGTTCTGGTTAGTGTAACTTTCTTTTTTTATTTATTGTTCTTTGCACAAGAATCCATGGACTGAAGTCGGGTAAATCTCTGAAGGAGTTTCGCGGCCACACCTCATTCGTCAACGAGGCCACGTTCACTCCGGATGGCCACCACATCCTGAGCGCTTCTTCTGATGGAACAGTCAAAGTAAGATTTAAAAAAAAAAAATCCCTGAATGCATTTTCTTTGCACGTGTTTGGATCCTGTGAACAAACTGACTAAAGATGTTTCATAAAATGCATTTTAACTGCCTGCTCCTTCTGTTGAACCTGTTTCAGGTGTGGAACGTGAAGACCACAGAGTGCACCAGCACCTTTAAACCTCTTGGCACGTCAGCCGGCACAGACATCACAGTCAACAACGTCCTGCTGCTGCCCAAAAACCCGGAGCATTTTGTCGTGTGTAACCGCTCCAACACGGTGGTCATTATGAACATGCAGGGACAGGTCAGTGTGAACCTTTCTACTACAACAGCTGCTGAAATCCAAGCTAAAAGAAACGCTTCACTCGTGTCGTGTACATTCCTGTTAGTGTTCTCAGTTTGTACTGAATGTTGTGCAGATCGTGAGGAGTTTCAGCTCCGGTAAGAGGGAAGGCGGTGACTTTGTGTGCTGCACGCTGTCACCTCGCGGCGAGTGGATCTACTGCGTGGGTGAAGACTTTGTGCTCTACTGTTTCAGCATCGTCACGGGCAAACTGGAGAGAACACTGACGGTACGTTACAGCACACAGACCCGGATCAAAAAGTCCCAAATTATCACAGCACACCCCCGTGCTCCGGTTCTGCCGCAGCTTCTGTCACAAGTTTTGATGTGGGGTGTGTAGCCGACTCCACGTTCAAACAGGAAGTGCTTTTAGAGTTTGTGCTGCAGGAGGAACCAACTTATGGACTGATTCTTTAGGTTTTACATTTATATATTTATTTTATTATTATTTTGTGTTTAACAAACATCAATTCATATGTAATTGTTTTTTTTTTTAAGTTCTCCAATTATTTTTTTATTACATTTTTAAGCTGGCACATTTAAAACAAGTGAATCTTATATTCTGGAGTCTGAACTAAATTTCTCTTTGGGACAGTAAAGTCACCTTGGTGCAGTAAATGAGCCGCGAGTCGACTCCTGCGGCGCGGCTGAAAAACTTTCTGCTGTTTTGGACATGAACTTGTCCGATTTTCATCTGGTTCTGATTGTTAGCCCATATTAAACGGTGCATGTTAGCATGCAGTTTAATGGAGGAGTCACGCCGTTCTTACACACGGTCAACAACCATGGCAGCACTTTGTGTTTTCTTAATCAATATTTGACCAAACCAGACCGCCACATTCAAACATGGACTCAGAGACAACAAACAACAAATACAGTCTGCTCCAACGATGCGTAGACTGTAGAGGCGAAGACCGCTCCAGGATCCAAATACTCAAACAGGACGTACTACTGTGCGTCTCTACATTGATAACTCGTTATCTTAAGCAAACTGCTACTGGTGGTTTAAAAAACAAAAAAGCTAATTGTACAAATAAACAGAAGCGCTTCTATTTCCTGTTTTTATCGTGGGAATAGACGAGAGCCATCCTGGTTGTTTGTAAGAACTGTGCGTTTCATCTATTTCAGTTTAATGCGTTTACTGTAAGATCAACAAATGATAGTTTTATCGAAATGTTTAAAGGGTCTTGATACCAGAAAAGACGTGAAGTCAGAAATACAACACCCAGTTGTTGAGTAATGTATTTGTATATTTCACGACTCGACGCATTGAGCCACTGGGTAACTTTGTTACCTTCTGGTACAGTGGGAGAACCACTGGTGCAACCTAAAGTATTTTAGGTTGCACCAAATTATGTACTGTCTCATCTTCAGAAGGCATATTTGTACATTTACAGTAGTCCCTCACTTATGTTCCAGACACCCCCACGATGGGTGAAAATCCGCAAAGTAGGGATGTTCTATTTATTTTAGTATTTGTATTAAGGCTTTATAAACTTTTCCCACGCTATGGCATTGTTTTTCACAATGTTCTAAATTCTTAAACCTACGTAATTTTAATAGCGTACTTATATGTACTGCAACATTTTATATGGGTGCTCACCAGTGAAGATATTCCAATTTGAAGGATGAGTTCAGCTTCAGGATTATTTGTGCCTTTCCTCCCAGTTCTGTGACTTTAATGGACGGATCGTTACTTCTGACTTTGTGTTGCAAAACTATTTTTACCACATCGGTTTCTCCGATGGCGTTCGCTCCCTCCAATTTTTGAATTTTGTCAGAAAGCAGCGGCCGGAAGCACTGTTGGCTTCTGGGTCGTGTAGTTCTTTTGACTTGCGTTACAGCGTAGGCTTATTGAAAGAAAACTACAAAATGGCGCCGCCTGTCCAAAGTATTTTGTTTGTTTTTGTTTTTTGTTCTATTGGTTGATTCCCGCTCACGTCCACTCCCGTTTAATTTTTATCCCGTACCGTCCCGATCACATGAGTAATATTAAAGTTGGCAATCGTGTGTCGTGTACAATTAGGGCTGCAACTAACGATTATTTCAACAATCAATTCATCAGCCGATTATTTTTTTCCCGATTAATCAATTAATCTGCAAAAAAAAAAAAAAAAAAAACGTTTTAATTTCCACCCCTTTATTCCAAAATTGAACATTTGACTGACATAGCAATTCACACAGAAACAGGTTGCTAATTGACTATTCTGTTAGTAAAATATTGAATAATAAAAAATAAAAGTTAGTCAAATAGCTTAAAAAAATAAATGTACACAAAAATATATACAAATGTGTCTTTATACCTGCACAATATGTAGCTACTTTGTAAAATGTGTCCTTGAGGGAAGAGTGTAACCTGGATTAAAAGTGTGGATTATTGTAACCTGGATTAAAAGTGTGGATTATTGTAGTGAAGCCTTCGTCTTCAACCATGGACAGAGGCCTCATGTCAGTGACGATCATTTAAGGATCTTTCAGTGAAGACAGCTGCTGCTGTGGTGTCCATGATGTCTGTCCATCATGAAGGATGTTGTTGTTTGTTGTTGTTTTCTGGAATGAGAGAGTAATAAATATGTATTATAACATAATTTACAGCAACTCAAGAAATGCCTTGTTTCACTTACAGTGTTAGGTTAAGACAAAAGTAGCTAAAAAAAGCAATTAAACACACACGTGTATATATATATATATATGTATATATATAATACTTAATTCCACACATTTGAGTAGATGTAATAAATTACTTTAATTTCTGTTTAAATGCAATTCATCCTGCCATACCTGCAGTGTCTTCAGACTTTGCCAGCAAAGTAAAAGTTGAAGCTTAATCATTAAATTATTATCTTTGTGTTAGATTTATTTATAAATCACATTTAAACACTGCTTGTACCAATTAAATTAAATAAAAAGTAACACACGTTCTCTATCACCGTCATTAATCAGATAAACAACCAAACAAAGAGCTTCATCTACCAGAGAGACTGACGTTACGTTTTCTCTCTTGAAACAGAACAATGTGTTAAATTGTAGAGACTCACCTGCAACACATGACGAGTTGTATCAGCTGCTGCTCCTTCATCCTTCTCGTGACTCCGACATGTTTACGTTTCATCTTCGTGGTTCTAACCGTGTCGTGTCGTCACTTTTTCAAAGCTGCATGTTTCTCAGTTTTTATCTTTGTGAAGAGCTCCCACACTTTGGAGGACTCGGGTCGAACAGTTTCCTCTGCGTCAGTCATTTGTAAAATTTACTTAATTTCCTTTGAAAACAGCCTCTGCTCTGCCTCCCCCTCGCTCTGTTCAACTCGCGCTGCAGGTTTTTTTTTTTTCAAACTTTATTCAGTCAGTCAGCACTGACAATGAACTGCAGGTGAACAAAACGGCTCTGCAGCGCCGTGAAAGACACATAATCACGCGACACAACGAATCGATAATGAAATTCGTTGCCAACACTTTCAATCATGGATTTTATCGATTCGTTGTTGCAGCCCTATGTGCAGTCTTACGTTGAAAACCCGCAAAACATTGAGTCTGTGAAAATCGAAGCGCAAAGTATCGAGGGTCTGCTGTTTAACCAAACGAGTTGTAAGAATAAAGGCGTGTGGACATTTCACGGGGCCTTGATGTGGAGATCTGTTTTTCATTGTTACAATAATGACTCGTGATGTCACTTGTGGTTGTTGCTCTCTGTTCTTCAGGTTCATGAGAAGGATGTGATCGGCATTGCCCACCACCCCCACCAGAACCTCATCGCCACGTACAGCGAGGACGGCCTGCTGAAGCTCTGGAAACCTTAAAGCCTCCCCCGGAGAGGAGGCCGGACATTTTCGCTCGGGACAGTTCTCTGTCCATTTTGTTTTTGTTTCCCTGTCCTGGTGAACCGCTCTGAGGAACACCATCATTTTTACAGTCTGAAAATGGTAGAATATAGTTAATAAAAAGCCGAGTGTACAGTTTTTGTTCAGTTTTTTACGTGTTTTTGTATCTTTAAAATCTTGACATCATGTTGGGCTGTTCAGCCTCTGGGACTCACTTCAGCCTTTACTGTGCAAAAACAAACATTTTACTTTTCCACACAAATTTTAAGCTTCGCTTCAGTCCATGAATTAGTTTTAACCAACATGTAATAATAAAGCATTATAATTCAGCTTTATTGTGATGCTGTAGGAGTCCTGTTGTAAACCCTCTGAAGTGGAAAAAGTGAACGTTGAAAAGCTGAAAGCTTCTTCAGTTTTGAACATCTTGTTTTCTGTCACTCTTCAAATAAAAATCCAGCTGGTTAACTTCTGAGCGCTTTAATCTTTAGCTTCTCTGGAGTCACTGAGCGAGAACAGTCCAAATACTTTCAGCTTCTTGTTTTTAATTAAAATAATTGTCTTCTGGCTCTATTTCTTCACACCTGCTTGACTTTGCCATCAGATATCTTGTGAACAAACGTCTGTAAATCAGGTTGAAAAGTTGCTCCTTGGACTATTTCATCCCTTTTTTATTTTATACATTAAATTTGGCTGATTTGGAAACTTCTCTGATTTTTACTTTTAATCACGGTCGATAACAGAGCTATTATACTTTATATATATATATAAATAATTTTTTTTATTTTTTTATATGGGTACGGATCTCTTGTGATGAACGAGGGACTATTGTACATACACCATACATATATATATATATATATATATATATACACATACATACATACTGTATATATATATATAGTGTATATATACACAATTACATATATGTGTGTATATATAGTCCGTGTGTGTATTATATATATATACACACACGTATTTATGTGTATATATACACTATATATACATTAAGTATGTATGTGTATATATATATATACATACATACATACATACTGTATATATAGTGTGTGTGTATATATATATATATATAATATAAACCAGGGCTATTCAACTAAAATGCTCGTGGGGGCCTCAGTTACTGAAAGCCAGGGAGCTCGGGGGCCGGACCTCCAGCAGTTATTGTCAATAAGTTTGTTTTCCAGTTTAAAATCTAGTTTTATTTGAAAATGAATGCATTGATGGGACAAACTGAGCTCTTCTGGGGGCCTGATTTGGCCCCTGGGCCACCACTTACACAGCCCTGGTCTATAAATGGTTTGGTCTATAAAAAAAATAAACCGTCCAGATGACCTTGCTGAACTTTTTTGGATTTTATTTTTATTTGGATTATTGAGCATGAACTTTGATGCCTGGGCTACTTATTGAAAATACAAATAGAAGCTTTTATGATTTTGAATTGGACGTAAAATGTGGATTGTATGAGTTTGAAGGCGCTTCAGTGGATCTGGGACTTCTTAACATTTTGTTTTCCCCTTTTACAATATGTAGCAGTTTTGAAGCCATTAATCAAAATGGTAAAAATATCCTTTATTTGAAGTTGAATTGCAGAACGGAGTAAGACCAGAACACGCTGCCGTTCAATTGTCTGAGTTTTGAAATGAGTTTGCACGTTTCCTGTAAAATAACAGCAGATTCATGTTTTTGTGACGGAGCTGTAGATGATGGAAATGAATCCCAAACAAAGCGGTTGGCTGGAGACTGCAGCTGCTCTGCAGAGGTTTTCACTAACAGAAGAGGGGCCTTCAAAATAAAAGCCTGACTTGATCCTGAACAGTGAGGAGCACAGAGGACGAGAACTTCAAGGTAATTAAATCTGATTTTTATTATTTCTCTTGCTTATCTTGCTGCTATTAAACATTAATATGAGAGCTAAAATAGTTTGAAATGTGACATTTCTGTTTATTAAATAACTTTAGAGGTTTTGTTTTTGGCTTTTTTTTACCAGGAAAACAAGAAGTCGTGGAACAAATCTCAGTTTTTCCATCTGCAGAGAAGCTAAATCTTATGCTCCAATGTCTTGATGTAATCACTTTTAGTTTCCAGATGAAGCTGAGTGTGAAAGGAAGCAGTTTTCAGAGAAGAAGCTTGACGGCCTGAGCAGGGTTGACTGAGGTTCAGTGTTTGAGCTCTTCCTGCACAGGAGGGTCACCATGGCTGGGTTTCTCCACGTTTCTTTGCTTCTGGTTTTTCATTTTGACTTCTTTGCTCTTGCTTTTAGCATCACTGCTGAGGTCTCAGATGTAGAGTCCATCTCAACTCGGAGCCTTTTTTCTGAGGGGAGCCCTAATGCCACTGTGGTTCCCACCACAGAGTTCACAACCAGCTACAGAAAGTCAAGAAGAAGAACCAGCACAGGCTCGAGTGAAGAGGAACGACCCAAACCAGAGAGAAGAGGCTCCAAAACACAAGATGAAGATGAAACTGGACCTCTGGAACTGGGTGAGTACGAATCAAACCTCATTTCCAAACAGAAAGAGACATTTGATGATAATAAATATGCATTTACTATTTCTGTAATACAAATATCTTTAAAAAAATGCTCAAGTGTTTTTATTTGCACTTTTTTTTTTTTGGTTTGCAAACATCAACCGTGGAGGTGAGAGTCATTGCATCAAATTTATCCAAAACCTTTAATGTCAGCTTGTTTTTCTTTTGGGGACTAAAATACAACTAATTTACACAAACTCAGCACTGATGGAGTTTAAATTAGAGTTGTGTCGTGCACGTGTTGCTGCTGATCCGTGAGTCACTGGTGAAGAATCCAACTACAAGCTTGTTTAGCTGTTCTGTGAAGGTTTGCAGATCTGTAAGAATGAGGGGGTATGTCTGTTTGGGAAGGAGGTGTGTGTGTGGGTGTGGGGGGGGGGGGGGGGGGGCACTGTTGGACTGATGAAAACCAGATGTGGTTTTTGTGACGCTCAGACCAGAAGAAAAATGGACAAGTTACTGTTTTATACCACGTTTTGATGAAAAACTAAGTCAAGTTACAACTTCAATTTGGAAAAAGTTGAATAAAATTTAAATAAAAAAATATATATTTTCAAATCTGGCGGCATGGTGGATCAGTTGTTAGAGCTGCTGCCTCAGCAATAAGGTTGTCTGATCAGATCCCGGTCGGGGGCCTTTCTGGGTGGAGGTTGCATGTTCTCTCCGTGCATGCGTGGGATTTCTCCGGGTACTCCGGTTTCCTCCTGCAGACCAAAAAACATGCATGTTAGGCTGATTGGCTCTAAATTGTCCCTAGGACCAGGGCTTAATTTGAGCCGGATCCAGTTCCAGCGTGAACTCAAATCTCTTATTTTGACATGGTGCGTTCCTGTAACTGTTTGTTTTAACTCTTAGGTTTACTAATAATAAAGTTATGAACAAATATGACTGCCTTGAACAAATAAAACCTATATAGGAAATGCAATCTGAAAATAATTACCTAAAGACTAATTTGAAACATAACGGCCACTTATGAGCTTCCTAAAATAATCACATCAGAGCTGCCCCTTCAAGTAAGCATTTCCGCTTCTACACTTAAAAAATTCCCCCACCCCAAAAAGTACCACAGTAATGGGCAATTTAATTAAAAGCACAAAAGTATAATTAAACGGCACAACTAAATTGGAAAATCAGTTCATTAATAAAATGTTGATTATTTATTAAAAACGCAAGAGAAATGTTTCATGGGTAATCACGTTACGTACGTCACGTATCAAAACAACGGCGCCAATTTGTTAAAATAAAAGCAATCAAAATGTTGAAAAGACAGTAATTTATTTACTTACTTTACTTACTTTCATTTAAAAAACAAAAACGTCCAATTGAGAATTGAAGCACATGAAGGCAGTGGTAACGGGGGGTGGGGGTGTTAGGATGCTTGAGAGAAGCGGGGCGTGCTCTATTCACACAGGGAGAGCTGTTGGTCAGGCTACTTCTTGTTGCTCTCTAAAATATTTATTGAATCACGTGTTTACAAATGTAGGTAAACGTAGACGTTTAACAACCCGTTCAAATACACCAGAATGCAGGAAACGGCATCTACTTTATTCATAATTTTCTTAGGGAGGACCCCCAGACACCCGACAACCACCCACCACCCCCGGCTTTTGCATTCCGGCATCGTTTGGTCATTTGGTTTAACAAATTAAACACTGCCTTGTGTGAGTGAGAGTGTGAATGGTTGTTTGTCTCTATATGTGTCCCTGTGATGGACTGGAGACATGTCCAGGTGTCCCCCGCCTCTTGCACAGTGACTGCTCTAGATGGATGGATCCATTTGATGGTCAATGGTCTTCATCGGAAAGGCTGATCTGTTCGGTACAGAAAATGTTTTGCCCTTTTTTTTTATAGCGAGGAGACTCAGACGGAGCGTTAAGGTAGCAAAGACGTCTAAAACATCTCTGAAGAAACCAAAGGTCATCAGGAAGAAGCTAAAGTTTGTTTTAAAAACAAAACCCCAGGTGAAAAAGCGCGTGAGCCAATCAGCCGCCAGAGAAACAGCTCCACGTATGTATCTGGGTTAACCCCCAGCTATACAGCATGCTGATGAGGCAAGTTCTGGGCAAATACTCGATTCTGTTGCTTTTGTTGTGAGTTTCCTCACAGGACGATGCAGCTGGAATCAGGGAGGATTTTACATCATCTATCAAATGAACATGATTTAAATAGAAACTTGGATTGAATTCTCAGCAAAAGCAACAAAAAGTTATTTGCTGAGGCAAAACTGAAAGTTTGTGCCTCCCCATGGTGCGAGGCATACTGTATATGTTCGCTCTTTATTAAAGAATAACCCTTCCTGCGTTAAAACAAGTGCCGTCTTAAAGAAAAGCACAGACTTTACTCTTGATTCAGCAGCAATGAAACGACCGGCAGCATCAAGTCATTAAGGATGGTGCCTCTTTCCTCTGGGACCGCTCTGCTTTACTCAAGAGCTTTGTTCATTTCACTGCACTCTGAGAAGCAACACCTCACTCCTTTTAGTTTGATGTTTCAAAACCATGTTTCAAATAAAAAGAAAGTAGAAAATTTGAGTTCAAAAAGATTTCAAACTGAACTCAGTTTATACCATTTAGGTCAAATATGCTGTTCCTGTGTTTGATGCATTAAAATGGTTTATTTCTGTGCACTTAACAGATTTTTTTACACTTTTTAAAAACTGTTACGTTTGCTTTAATTTAAATGCATTTTATTAATTTTTATTTGCATCCTGCTGTGCAGGTGGTGTAGAGGTAGATCACAAGGTCGCAGGTTCGATTCCCTGGACTGACAACATCAAAATGTGGGTGGAAAAGGTGAAACACATAAACACCTTCCTCCACCCTCATTTGCCCCACTCTAGACCCTGAACCCCCATCTGCTCCTCCGGGGCACCCCAGATAGCGGCTCTCTGCTCCACACAGAGGGCTGTGGTAGCTCGGTGGTCTGTGGTTGCGTTAGCAAGGACATCTGGCTTAAAAACAAATTGTCAAGTGTTCGTGCAAGTTAGTTCGCTGTGGCGACCCCTGAAGAAGGAGCAGCCGAAGGAAGAAGAAAAAAATAATAAGTAGAGAAATTGCATGCAGTGTGAATGCTTATTGCTGAAGAACTTGCTGAAAAACAGGTGAAATTAGCTAAAACGTGCTGAAATCTAGCTGAAAAGGAAGAACAAGCCTAAGTTAGCAGAAGAAAGAACATATATTTGCTGACTTGGGGTTAAATAAGCAGAAATGAGCACAAAAATTAAGAAATTAGCTTAAAAAAAGCTGAAATTAGCAACAAAATAGTCAAGAAGTTGCTGAAAAAGCAGAAAAAAGCTTAACCTATCGGAAGAAAGCGGAAGGAGATTAAATGAGCTGAAAGAATGAGGAATTAGCTGAAAATGCAAAATTTAACTTAAAACAACTAAAAAGTAGTTAAAATAGCAGAATTTCAATTTTCAATTCAGTTTATATAGCGTTACAGAAATTACCAAGAAAAACTTGTATTTATTTGAAAATAGCTAAAACTGGCTTAAAAAAAATTAACTGAAAAGGTAGAACAAGCTTAAATAAGTAGAAGAAAGCAGGAAAAACACTTTTGCCCAATTAGGCTGAAGGAAGCAGAAATGAGCTAAAAAAGTGGAAATTATCTGAAAAAAGCTGAAATTGACAAACAGCTGAAAAGTAGCTAAAAATGCAGAAAGAAGCTTAAATCACCAGAAGGAAATGGAGAGAGCATATTTTTGATGAATTAGGCTGAAAAACGTTGAAATGAGTGCATGAAGTGTGGAATTAGCTGAAAAAGCTTAAATTATTATAAAAACAGCTAAATAGTAGCTGAAATCGCAGAGAAAGCTGAAACGCAGAAATAAGCTGAAAGGAGCAGAACAAGCTGAAATTAGCAGAAAGAAGTTAGAAGCACAAAAATTTTTGAAGTTAGCAGAAAGGATGTGAAAGGAGCACAAAACAGCTGAAAAACAACTGAAAGTAGCTGAAAACAGTTTAAATTTGCACAAGGAAGCTGAAAGAAGCTGAAGCAGAACAAAAAGTGAAAGGAGCTGTAAAAGGGTGTAAACACATCTAAAGATATGAAGGATGTAAAATGAGATGTATTCATTTTCTATGAGGAAAAAAATGGCAGAAAAAGCTAAATATTTCAAAAAGCTAAAATTGCACCAATACCAAAAGTCATAGCAGGATTGTCCTGAACGAGCTGAACGTTTTGATTCATGATTTGTTGAAATAGTTTGAAAACTGCAGGACCGATAAACATTTTCATGTGGAGAGCAGACAGAAAATAAAATGCAGAGTTTTTTAATCATTGAATCTCCAAACTTATTGACCGAACACGCGCCGCTCCTTCAAACATTCACCGTTTAAATCCCTCAGCGATGCGGGACATCGGTATATCGCTTATATTAAATAAGATTCATGTTTTTCTGTATTAAAATAAGAAAACAATGATTTTATTCACGTTTGTAATTTGCTTTCAAGACCTCCGAGAACAACGCCCCCACACTCAAACAACCTCATTTATCTTCTTCTGGATTTACTTGTTTTTATCCGGTTGATGATCGGAGCGTTGGGCCGCTTCAGCCGAGCATTAATTGAACATTCCTCCCCTCTTGGACATCGCTGACGATCCGCCAACTCTCCCTGGCTCAGCTTCAGTGGTTTCAGGGGAAAGTTGGGGGCTGGCACGAGTCCAGAGGTCAGCAGCACCAAAGAGCCTTTTTCAGTCACAAGCAACTGCAAAGACCCTGTGGGAGTGCAAGGCAAACTGGTGAACGAGTTTTCACTAATAACTGCTTCCTGTGCAGCTGTTTGATGTTTTTCAGATTTCTGACTGGAAGAGGATGTTTGAGTGCAGACAGTCGGAGTCTGAGGTTTCAGAGCAGCAGCAGAGAAGCTGCTTCTTCCTCTTCAAAAGAACTATCTACGTTACATATACAGATGAAATATTGCAGGAAAGGTGGCTTTGGACGTAAGAGTCAGTTTCTGAACATATGTTTGAATGATTAAACAACTTCTGCATGATTTGAGCTACTACGGGATCGGATTTGCTCATCTTAAGGACAAATGTTTAATTTACATCAAATATTCTGTTTCTTTTGTAAAGGAATAGTTTTTGTGACGTTTATTTGTCTTCCGTCACTTGAGGAAAAATTAAGAAACCATCTGTTTTAATCTCAGCAGTTGTACGGATCATAACTTAAAAAAACACCAGAGCCTAAATAAACCCAAAACAACCTCAGGTTGGTTTTTTTTGGGCTTGATTTTTATTTATTTATTTATTTATTTTTCATCGTTAGACCTTTATTTATACAGTTTAGCTCCCATTCAGCCTCGGAGACTCATTTACAAGAGAGACCTGTTACATACAGCATACAGGCAGATGAGAACACGAGGATGGAGGAAGCCAAAAAAAATCATGTCTCACACCGTGTCCTGGCCAGGAAACCATATGAAAGATGCAAAAAAAAAAGGACCTCGCAACATAAACAGCACCATACAATGACATCATAATACATTTATGCAAAGAGGTCGACAAAGCCGGTGAGATATCCAGAAACACTCCAGAAAGTTCCAAAGTTCTGATAAGTTGGTACAATGTCTATCTGCATCATGGTTCTGATGAACCTCGGCCACCCAGCTGCACATGCAGGATCAAATCAGCTCCTCGTTCATCCTCTCTGAGAGAAAAAACAACTCTGCTAACTCAAACACATGGCTCATGGGCAGGTAACATTCTCTGCCATAGCACTGTATTTTTTGGATTATAAGGCTCACTGTCAATTTTTTTTTTTTATAATTAAAAAGGATTTTAAGTGCGCCTTATAGTCTGAAAAAGACGGAAGTTGAAAACATCCATGAACCTTGATCAAAATCCCCTGACAGGAACATCCGCTCCTCAGAAGACTGGAAGTTGTCTTGAACATTTTCTGCTTGTGAATAACTTTTCTAAATTTGAGGTGTGACTGCTGGAGAAAGGCACCTTCTTCTCCATGATCCATAACGGAGAGGCGGATAAAAAGAAAATGGGTGGTTTGGAAATGTCCTTTAATCCTTCCCATACTGATAAATGGCAGCAGTTGCTTCTCAAAGATTATTGCTGTTGTTCTTCCACCTTGGCAATGCATTGACGATGCAGTGCAGTTCTTTCCCTTTTATTTTTCCCCACCTTATTGAAAATGATCCAGTCAGTGGATCGTCCTGTATTGGCTGCTTCTCAGAGTATAATCTGTGCAAAAGTAGATCCTAGAAACTCTGCTTTCACTTTCTCTGCTGCTAAACGCTCTCCTGCTGGTGAGGAAAGTTAAATTCAGATGGACGATGATGATGATCTGTTGTCTGTGTCAGAGTGCCCCCCTCTGGGTCTGGAGTCCCTGAAGGTGAAAGATGCTCAGCTGAGGGCTTCATCCTACAAACGCAGAGGCCTGGGGCCTCACCGAGGTCGACTCAACATCCAGGTACCCCAACAGACCATAAATATTTGTTTTACCCGCCCTGTCCCTCCGACAGTGCAGGGCTGCCACCGCAGGGTTCAGGTGGACTCTTTGTGTTGCAGTCTGGAATAGAGGATGGAGATATTTACGACGGAGCGTGGTGCGCTCGGTACCGAGACCAGAAGCAGTGGCTGGAGGTGGACGCTCAAAGGCTGACCCGCTTCATCGGTGTGATCCTGCAAGGACGCAACTCCATCTGGAGGTCGGTGTTGGGGGGGCGAGGGCATGAAGAGGGCGATGGAGAGCTGGGAGAAAGTTATCTTTACTTACCTTGAAAATATGGATGAATATAAACACTTAAACACCAAAGATAACTAGAGAAATGGCATGTTTTTGTGCTGAACGTCTGCCGAGATTGGCAGAAGAAGTTGAAACTGAAATGTTATACAATACTAGCTAAAAGCTAAAGGAAGAAAAAGGCTTCCAGAAAACTAAAAGTAGCAAAAGGCTAGTTAAAAATAGCTCAGCGGTAGCAAAAAGCTGAAAGTAGTTAATGCTAGCTAGAAGTGGCTTAAGGAGACACAAAATCAACAGAGTTCACTGAGGTAGGTTTCAAAGAACATTTTTCTTCAAAGATGTTTCTATGGGAAAACTATTTGGAAATGAACCCAACAAAGGGTCGGGTCAACTGGATGGTTTCTTTTGTTGTTGTTGAGACGTTTCATTCTTCATCCAAAGGACTTCATCAGTCCAAGGAGCCACAACAAACTCAGTCCCACAAGCAGCATACTCACATAGTGGACCAACCAGTTTGATGGTGATAAGATGGTTTCTGGGGCTCGCCCTCTCCCCCGTCCACTCCTCTGAGGCAGCCATAGCCAAATTATTGAGATTATTGAGCATGAACTTTGATGTATTGAAATAAAGTGAAATGTTTTGAAAAGCATAAAAGTTACAAAAACAACCTGAAGCTGTAGCTCCCGTCTCCCGAATGAGCCAGATGTTTTGATATTTGAATGAGTACCGTATTTTCCGCCGTACACGTCGCACCTCCCTATAAGTCGCATCAGTCCAAATATGTCTAATAAAGTGGAAAAGTCCATAAATACGTCACTGCGCCGTATATGTTGCATCTATTATGCGTCACCACTGACACGTCGTGTTTGTTATACGTCACCGCTGACAACCCGGAAATGTGGGATGGTGTTGTGCCAAAAATCAATTGGCTGCCAAATGGCAGCCGCGGGAGCATGCACGGGAGGACTTTAACAAGAATTTAACAAGATTAACGCTTAAAAACAATTATTTGTTTGCTCTAAATCATAGTAAAGGTGTGTCTCAGTCTAACTTTTGTTTAATAAATGCACTTTGACAGTCAAATCAGCTGCATTTCGTCGGGACCGACGGTGCAGCGAAATGAAGCTGATTCAGATGCTCCAGGCAGACGATGGTGGCATTCTACGGCAAGCTGACTGTGTCATTAATAGCCACTTTTACCTATTACAAGATACAACATCATGCCTTACTACTCGAGTGCCATCTAGTGGCTGTTAATGGTAGTGTTCAATATTTTCAGTCAGACAATGAAAACGGTCATATCTTAGCCAAAAATTTGTTTATGAATATGATAAAAAAAAATCCATAAATACGTCGCTTTGGCATATAAGTCGCAGGGCAGGTAAAAAACTGTGACTTATAGGCAGAAAAATACGGTAGTTGGAAAGCCAATAATGTAAATAAAAAAGCAGGAAAGCATCATTCCCACAATTTCACCATGCAGCATCAGCAGTTTATTTTCCCCTTCCTCTGTCTTGTTTCCTCAAGTGAAGTCCAGATCATCTCTTACATTAGTCTGGAAATGAAAATGTAACTTCAGCATTTTATTTTCTCTGAGGTCTTCTGCAAAGTGTTTCTGCGCTGTCCATGTTCATGAGACGTGCGTGTTGTTTTGCACAGCTGGGATGTGGTGCACACCTACAAGGTTCAGTTCAGTAACGACACGCTGCTGTGGAAGCCGAGCATGAACGGGAGCGAAGAGGCCGTGAGCGAGCTCCTCACTTTTTACACTTTTTAAATCGGTCTGGTCGTCAGGTTGTAAAATACTCTGCGTGTCTCTTTGTGCTGCAGATATTTGAAGGGAACCAGGATGCAGAGACTCCTGTCCTGGCCCTCTTCAACACTCCAACGGTGGCGCGATACATTCGGATCAACCCGCAGAGCTGGTATCAGAACGGGTCACAGGGGGACGTTTGTCTCAGAGCTGAGGTGTTGGGCTGTGCTCTTCCAGGTACAAACATCCATCCATCCATCCACCAATCCATGCATCCATCAATCAGCCATCGGCAGTTCCTGAGTCGGTTCTCAGGGGCAGCATCTTGAGCATCGAGGTCCAGACATCTCTTTCTACAGCCAGCTCTTCTGGGAGGACTCCAAGACGTTCCCAGACCAACTGAGAGTCATAGTCTCTCCACTCCGTGTCCTGGTCTCCTCCCAGTAGGACACGCACGAAGCACCTTCCTAGGGAAGCACCCAGAAAGCATCCTTACCAGATGCCAGAATCACCTCAACTGGCTCCTCTCGATGTGGAGGAGCAGCGGTTCTATCCGAGTCTCTCCTGATATCTGAACTTCTCACCCTGTCTCTAAGGGAGAGTCCAGCTGCCCTGCAGAGGAAACTCATTTCAACCGCCTGTATCCATGATCTCATTCTTTTAGTCACTGCCCAGAGCTCATGACCAGAGGTGAGGGTAGGAACTAGGGGTGCACCAATTTATCGGGCCCGATTTCCTCAATTTGGGAAAATCGGAAATCGGCCGATACTTGCATGAGAAACCGATTTTACAGATTTTTTTTAGTTTTAACAACAATTGTCTGAAATTCATTTATATTTCAGAGCACCACCTCATGGCCAGTTAAAACAAGTTTGTATTATTTCTAGTATATTGTTCAAGGGTTAGTTTTTCAACAAAGTACGATTGAAAATTGAAGGTGCATTGTGACCATATAACACCTGACAGTGTCGATTATAAAACAAAATCGGTATCGGCCAAAATAGGAATCGGCAGGTCAGACTTTTTAGAAATCAGTGATCGGCCAAAAAACTGCTTTCGGTGGACCTCTAGTAGAAACGTAGACCAACAGATAAACAGAGCTTTGGCTTACAGCTCAACTCCTTCACCACACCAGACCGGCACAGAGTCCACAATACTGCACCAATCCATCTATCAATCTCACGCTCCATTCTTCCCTCACTCGTGAACAAAACCTTGAGATACTTAAACTCCTCCACTTGAGGCTGAACCTCACCCTCAATCTGAAGAGAACAATCCACCTTCTCTGACTGAGGACCATGGCCTCAGATTGGGAGGTGCTGATTCTCGTCCCAGCCACTTCACACTCGGCTGAACAGCTCCAGTGAGAGTTGGAGATCATGGCACAGTGACGCTAACAGGACCACATCATCCGCAAATAGCAGAGATCAAATCTTGAAGCCACCGAACCGGACTCCCTCCACCCCCTGGCTGCACCAAGAAATTCTGTCCATAAAACTAACGAGACTGTTTTTTCTTTGTGTTCTTGCATCTTCTTTGTCAGCTACAACATTCCTCTTTTCATTCTACAGATCCTGATGTGTATGCATGGCAGACAGAGCCAACAGGTTCTAAAGACAAACTGGACTTCAGGCATCACAACTACAAGGAGATGAGAAAGGTAGACACAGTTTGACAGACGGATACCATAGAACTGGTTTTGTTGTTCTGTAAAAAGAGATAAACCACCGTCTGCTGCTGGGAAGTCTGCCTGATTGTGGTTCTGTAAAATGGCTGCAGACCTTCCAGGTGTGAGTTTGTGTGTGCGGTCGCAGTCTGACCAAAAACTAATATTACAGCAGAGTTTGGTTCTTCATCACAGTCCTGTCTCTGCTGGCAGCTGTTTGCGCAGCGAGCCTCAGAAACCAACAACATATGATCCAAAAACTCACAAAGGCACGTCTAAATTCTGACCTACGTACAAACGGGTTTGTTGGTACCTTTTCACGATAATAATAAAAAATAAAAACTGGTGTGACTGGAGTTAAAATGCTTCATGTCTCATCAGTCCCAGAAATTTGGAGCTCGTCATCGTGCATTTTGGTTCATTCCAGCTTGTTTTTGTGTGTTTCTCTGCCAGTAGTGGAGCCTCCTGCGTCTTATTCTTGAAGTCTATTTAGATTCAAAATGTGACCAACCAGAACGTGACGTATCTTGACCTTAGAGTCCAGCTTGAATAGCTTTGGATGGATCACTTGGCTCTTTTTCTGTCATCCACACTACTCGGCTGATCATCCTGGTGTCGCATTTACCCTTGCGTCCACTTTTTAGGAGTTTGGCAACAGTTCCATGAACCTTCTACATTTTGTACGTCTGTTGAAAGTCTCCATCAGTCACGCCCATAAGTTCTGATCCGCTCATGACAATTTAACGAAACTTCATACGCATCATCACTAGACTGAGTGTCGCGTACACGTTTCATCACACTAGCTTCAAGGTCATACATCAAGGTCAAAGTTAAAACGAGGTCTTTGCTTGTCTGGGCCATTGCTACAGGCTGCTGTATGATAGTTTGTCGACGGGTGTATAATGCGCCGTATACAGCACTCTTGTTAATAACTTGTGATCAAAGGACTATGAAGCTGGGCTGTGATGGACTTGTGACCTGGCCAGGGTGTCCCCCGCCTCTCGCACAGTGACTGCTGGAGATGAGCACCAGTGACCTCAGTGACCCAGAAAGGAAGAAGCGTGTAAAGATGGTGGATGGATGGAACATGAAGCCTCCAGGTTTAATACTGAAATCTATCACCATCTTGACTTTTTTGAAGGCATCTGTGAGGCTAATCAAAATCAAACACTTAGTCTGAAACGTGGCAGTAATGCAAAGATTAATCATCTTTTTAAAAGTTATCAACTATGTCCTCGTGCAGATATACATTAGGCATTTGCTTTTAACCACGAACTGTTTTAATGAGATAAGTTAGAGTCACTAACACTCTTCTCATGGCAGTTTACTTCCTCTCCTCATCCTCCTCTATCTTAGTGCGGCATTTGATACTATCTCCCACAACATCCTCCTCCGCAGATTTTCATCCGTTGGTGTCACCCGTACACCCCTCGCTTGGTTTCAGTCATATCTCTCTGGCCGCACTCAGTTCATCCAACTTAAATCATTCAGATCCCACTCCTCCCCCGTCACTTCAGGTGTCCCCCAAGGCTCTGTCCTGGGGCCCCTTCTTTTCATCATCTACCTTCTCCCCCTTGGCAGTATCTTCCGTAAATTTAACATTCACTTCCATTGATTTGCCGATGACAACCAGCTCTTCTTGTCCACTGCACCTAATTCTTCACTTCCTCCTTCCTCCCTCACTTCCTGCTTAGCTGAAATTAAACCCTGGTTTACATCTAACCTAACTTCCTTAAATTAAACCGTGATAAAACAGAGTTTCTACTCATGGCACTAAATCCACCATATCTAAAGTCAACAGTTTTTTTTCTCACCATTGACAGCTCCATGGTTTCTCCCTCCCCTCACGTTAAGAGTCTGGGTGTCATTCTTGACAGCACTCTCTCTTTTCACTTTCACATCAATAATATCACCTGGTCTGCATACTTCCACCTTCGAAACATCAACTGTCTCCGTCCATCCCAGGACATCCTTGTAAAAGAGATTGATGATCTCAGTGGATTTCTTCCTGGTAAAATAAAGTAATAATCCCTCTCCCTGCACTCTGCTTCCATCTTGGTCCATAGCTTGGTCATTTTTCGAATTGATTACTGCAACTCTGTCCCATTTGGTCTGCCGCAAAAATTACTCCCTAAGCTTCAAATGGTTCAAAATTCAGCTGCCCGCATCGTTACCATCGTTAGCACCACGGGACACAGAGCCTTTTCTCACTCTGCTCCCCAACTCTGGAACGCTCTCCCCCCAGACATCCGTAATATTGACTCCCTTCAGACCTTCAAATCACAACTCAAAACTCATCTGTTCAAGTTAGCTTTCTCGCTTTGATTTTTTATTTTCTTCTTGGCTTAATGTTTTTATAGCCATTTTGTATTATTTTATTTTGTGTTTTTAATGTTGTGAAGTGTCCTTGGGTGTCTTGAAAAGTGCTAATAAATAAAATGCATTATTATTATTATTATAATAAGTTGACCAAAATAATGTCGGTAGCTTATCTAAAACAAACAAACAAACAGCAAAGTGTAGTCCAGTGGTTCTACATCAATTACGTTCATGTTCAAGCCAAAAAACAGACATTTCTAGTCTTTTAGCTTGTTTTTGTGGATTTTCTTCTTCATTTGATCATTTTTGTTTTAGTCTTCATCCATTTTTAATCCAATCCAAGAGAAATTAGTGAAAATCAAATTAAATGCAGAGCTTTTAGCATATTAATTTCACACCCGTTAATTAAAGTTTTCAGAAAATCACGAAGAGCGATCAAAGAAAACATCCTTCTTCATGACAATTATTTTAAATTACTATTCAACGCCAACATTTAACACCTTCTCTAATTCGTTTGTGCCATAGCATATTTCAGAAATTCAACTTAGGCGTAGCTGTTGCGTTATTTTGCTAACATGTGAACAAATGGCAACCATCACATCAATTCAAACGTTTTGTCTTGGATTTTAAAAAGGTCAGTGGATATTTAATGTGAGGATGAGGTCAAATTTGTGTACTCATTTGTTTTTTCAGCTGATGAAGTTGGTGAATGAGGAGTGTCCCAACATCACCCGTGTCTACAGCATCGGGAAGAGCTACACGGGTCTGAAGCTGTATGTCATGGAGATCTCCGATAACCCAGGAAAACATGAACTGGGTGAGTTAACGAGCTTCATCGACCTGTTCAGAGTTTCGTAAGTACTGTAATTTGCCCTCCATGACTTCTTGGTAGGATACTGTATTTTTTTCAACCAGCTGTGTTACAGGCACTGTTCAGAAAAAAAACACATTTACTGTACGTATTTGCGTATGTTACTGGTACATATTTAATTAAAAGTTTAAAAAATATTTCTGTGTAAATATCTGTGGACACCCACGGATTATAGACAGCAGTGGCTATATATGTACTTTTTTTGTGTGGGTGTGGCTTATATTCGGGTGTGCTCAATAGTCCGGAAATTACGGTAAGCTGTTTCTCTTCACTGATGCTCTTCTTTTTTCCTCATTTGTCTATGGATTGCTGTTCTGGTTCCATTTCATTTATTTTGTCAACCAAAGTATTGCAAGCGTCAGAGAAAGAGGATCTCTTGTGTTTTTGTTAATTTAAAGGTCTTTATGTTGATTTTTGAACTGATTATGTGTTTCTTAAAAAGGCTGTTTTAAATTTTATTTTTTTATTGTAACTGAACTTGCTGTCCTTTCACCTGCTGCACTGTGGACAGGAAGCATTTCTTGGGGGAACAGATACTCTACGTCAGGGCTGTTCAACTAAACTGCTCAGGGGTCTATAGTTAGGGCTGGACATCTAGCAGTTATTGTCATTAAGTAAGGTGGTTTTACCATTTAAAATCAAATTTTACTTGAAAATGAACCCATTGATGGGCCGAACTGCGCTCACCAGAGGGCCTGATTTGGCCCCCGGGCCACCAGTTGAATAGCCCTGCTCTACGTTCACACAGCAGTGTAAGGGTCAAAGGTCAGAGGAGATCTGTGCCGTAGTAAAAGTGGTAAATCCAAAGCAGCACAGACGGAAGTTCCTCTTTGTTTGCTCTGAGATGTACACATGTTTTCTTTGGCCTCTTGAGCTCGGCCCTCGTGGCAGCCGCGTGGAGAGATTTTCCCGCCAAAAGGCAGTGAAGGCGGGAAAATCGGGAAAGCTTGTGAGAAACGGACAGAGGATCGGAGCGAGGCTGGAAAATACTTTGTGAAAAGTAAAACTGAAAATTGACTCAGAGTAATAAATAAATAAATAAATAAAACCGTTTTAGTTTGTTTAACCTTTATGACCAGCTTAATGTTAATTACACCACTGAGCCAAAAAATGGGCTTTTAAAAATCATGCTAGAAACAATAATATAATTTTTTATTTTTATTGAGCTGTTTCTTTGTTACCTATTTGACCTATCTATTGCTATAAAAATCACTTTAAAGCTTTTAACCCTTTCAAATGCCAGATTTCTCTCAATACGCCAACACTTAATTTCCCTCTGGGATTAATAAAGTATTTTTGAATTGAATTGAATTGAATTTAACCACCATGTTTTTGGATAAAAAACAGGAAATGTGAATTATTTTAATATGCTACATGTATTTGTGTTGAGTGGTTACAGTCTAGGATCTGTCAATAATTAGTAGCATTGTATTTCTCTTTACATTACTCTAAATTTAAAGTGTGAAAATAGTCCTGAGCATGAGTTGAAGTAAATATTAAATAAATGAACCTTTTAAACGAGAACAGTCGCTCAGCTCCACCAGAGGTTTACCAAACATCTATTTTATTTAAAAGATATTAAAAAAGATAAATAAGTGTGTTTACATGCTGTCTAAGGAAGCTTTGATGAACTTAAATCAAACGTCAGACCAGCAGAGACCGGTCTCATCGTGCAGCGACACGTGAGCTGAGAAACGAGCTGAAAGTCCTCGTAAAAGTTTCTAGGAGGACTGTGTGAGTTTTCAGAGACCCCCGTCAGGGGAGAGTGTGTGCACACGTAGGTTAAACAGGAAACTGATCTGCAGGGCAGTGCTTTAAAAAAACAAATCTCAAAACTGATTTTTTTCTGCTGCATCTAATATGAAACGTAAAATGATCCTGAAATGATAAAAAAAAAAAGCAACGTAAAAAGTGCAAACCGTGTGCTGTCTTTAAAGAGTCCGTGTTCTGACGTCTCCTGCAGGAGAACCAGAGTTTCGATACGTCGCAGGGATGCACGGGAACGAGGCTCTGGGCCGGGAGCTGCTGCTCAACCTCATGCAGTATTTGTGCCAGGAGTACACGCGAGGAAACCAGCGGGTTGTCCGCCTGGTCAAAGAAACTCGCATCCACTTGCTGCCCTCCATGAATCCTGACGGATACGAGATGGCCTTTAAGAAGGTCCCAGAAACCCACAAGGTTCTGTGAGGAGCTCAGAGAGTGGAGAAAACAGACTCACCGACCCTCGTTGTTCTGACCCGCAGGGCTCGGAGCTGGCAGGCTGGGCCCTGGGGCGCTACAGCTACGAAGGCATCGACATGAACCACAACTTTGCTGACCTCAACTCTGGGATGTGGACCGCCATCGAGCTGGAGACGGACCGGTCCAAACTCATCAACCATTACTTCCCCATTCCTGAGCAGTACACTTCTGAGGAAGCCTTTGTAAGCCATAAACACACATTTATTTATTTATTTGAAGCAGCTTTTCATCACCCTCTCTGTAGGAAATTACTGGGAGTATTTGTTGATAAGTAAGTTATAATCCAACGATGGAAAGTGGCTTCACAACATGACTTTTGTTTGGTTGGTACAGTTTACACATGCTAATGGGCTTCTGATAAAACATTTAACAGGTTATTAGGTCAAACTGATGCTTATTAAGGACCAACACAAAGTTTGATCCTTTCTTTCTTTACTTGATGACTTCATTACAGACAAAGATGGATGGGAAGTAGGGGTGCACAGGGTACTGCAGGACTCTGATAGCTAAGATTAATGAATACATTTCCGTGCACTTTAATTATTGTCCCCCGTCGCAGAGAAAGAGGTAATTAGAAATACCCATCCAGTCGTCCGTCCGTGTATGTAAAATAATTTGATAAATAACTGAGGTACCGACTTCCTTTTTGGTTTGTGGCTACATCTAGGCCAGGGGTCTGCAACCTGCGGCTCTGGGGCCACATGTGGCTCTTTGGTCCTTGGTCTGCGGCCCCTTGGAGCTTTGACCAAGCACAATGCAAAATGTAAATTTGTTGGTTTTTATACGCACAGTAAAGAAAAATGGCAAGATTGAGCAGTTTTTCTGCAAATGCTTAAAATAAATTACTAAAACGAGAAGAAAATGATGATTAGCTTTAGCTACTTCATTTATCCAACTCCAGGCCTTACAGTAGGATTTTTCTCTCACATCCACCAGAAATTCTTTGGAATGCCTTTAGAGCAAGCTGCCTAGAAGAAATATGGTGAATAATAGATGGATAAACGGATGGATGGATAGATAAATAGATGGATAGATGGATAGATAGATAGATAGATAGATAGATAGATAGATAGATGGATGGATGGATGGATGGATGGATGGATGGATGGATGGATGGATGGATGGATGGATGGATGGATGGATGGATGGATGGAATTGAAGATAAAGTAAATAAAATTTGTTTTTTAAATTAAAAAAAATATTGCCACATTTACATATCCTACAAAATGACCTTCTATGTAGACACATTAAATTTATGCTTTATTACTTTAACGTGAGTTACATAATTATTTTGATTTTTCTCAAATTAAAAGGAAGACTCTCATAAACCTGCAGAGTTCAGGGTTAAATTATTTTTTGGTAAAATTGGTATGAAATATATATTTTCCCCCTTGTTTACATGAATGTGGTCTTTTCTTTAGCCCCATTTGTTAAAAATCATTATATAATTTGTTTTATAAAGTCACCCCCACTGGCTGAAAAACAAACAAACAAAAAAAGCTTCATACAAATTTGAAGTGGCCCATGAGCCACCAGTTGATAATGACCGTCGTAGCAAGTTTTGCGGCTCTAGACACAATTTGTTTAGTAAATGAAGGGTAGAAATCAGGTCTCACTTGTAAATGAGTCCTCGAGGCTCAATGGGATTTACCCGTCTAAATAAAGATTGAACAAAAACAAAAACATCTACACCCCCCTGAACATAAGATCTGCGGTGGAAGTGGTCTCCAGCTACAAGTACTTGGGTGTACACATGAATGACAACCTCAGCTGGAGCAACAACACCACCAGCCTGATCAAGAAAGCTCATCAGAGACTCTACTTCCTCAGGCGGCTGAGGCGAGCTGGTCTGGGAAGCTCAGTCCTCACCTCCTTCTACTGGTGTGCAGTGGAGAGCATCCTGTGCTCCAGCATCAACGTGTGGCATGGAGGCTGCACAGCTGCAGAAAGAAAAGCTTTGCAGAGAGTGGTGAAGGCTGCACAGAAATCTGTTGGAGTCAGTCTCCCCACCATCACAGACATCTACACCTCCAGATGCAGGAAGAGGGCCACCTGCATCATGAAGGACCACACTCACCCAGCACACACACTTTTTGCCCCACTCCCCTCAGGAAGAAGGTTGAGGAGCATTAAGTGTAGAACCACTAGACTGAGGAACAGCTTCTACCCTGAGGCCGTTAGACTCATGAATCTCTAACTAGAATAATCACTGTGAAGAATCACTTCATGTTGCTGCTGATCCGTTTCATGTTGCTGCTGATCTGTTTCATGTTAATGTGTTCATGCGTGCACATCTGCTCACAGACTCATGTTCATGTTTGTGCTGATGTTCAATGTTTTTATGTTATGAGTGCTTAGTGTATATTTAGTTGATGTTTTTCTTAGTTCATATCTTAGATGTTATTACTGTTTTTCTTTTACATTTTATTGTTGGATGTAACTGGGACCCTGTGTACATAATTTCGCTCCACCACATGTACCACATGAGGTGCGAATGACAATAAAGAAACTCTGACTCTGAATGAAAAAAAAGAAATTACTCTTTTGATTTAAAAGGTTTCAGACCCCTGGTCCAGGCCTAAGAAAGTTTTCTTTTGAATTTTGGGTTGCCACGCCAAAATTATATATGTATATATATATATATATATATAGGGGCGGGGTACACCCTGGACGGGTCTCCAGTCCATCACAGGGCCACATAGAGACAAACGAGACAAACAAACATTCACTCTCTCACTCCACTTGAATATCTTGCACCAAAAACATTAAGGTTTACTTGCATTCCCTGTTACGATCCAGAAAAACACTAATCTCAATAATTACAAACATTCACTATTCAAATCCATCAGCTGGGCCGGATTTTAGCAGGGGCTTACAGGGGCTGCAGCCCGGGGCCCCGGCATTTCAGGGGCCCCAAAGGATGTTTTGTTTTTGTGAATGGATAGTGTCGGAATTTAATCAATGACTATGATGATTTTGACAGCACCGATGAAAAATGTTCCAATTTGTTCTGGAAAACGTCCATCTTGAATGCTTGCTTGTTATTGGTCCACTTTTGACGCATCTTACGCATTGGGGAGGAGCATCAGGGAATATTATTTTACAATGGCAGACAAGTGTTTGTGGTTCTAGTTCCTCCAGATAAGATGAATGCAGAAGTGTCATTAATAAATGGAAATCTGTATTTTGTTCTTCATATTTTTCAAGATGTTCTCTGTAAAAACCTTGGTCTATATGTATATATATATATATACACACACATATACAGTATTGACTCCAGCCCAGGGGCCCCCATCCTCCTAAATCCGGCCCTGTCAATATTTTTTTTCTAAAAACAACTGGTGTTCACGTCTTGGGCAGGTGACAGCAGGTGATTTACAGCCATGAACTAACCATTTGTGAGCGTTCATCATCTCTGGACTTCGTCTTTGAGCTTCGTTATTATGTTTGATTCATTTCTTGACTTCATTGTCAGGTGGCATCTGAGACGCGAGCCGTCATCAGCTGGATGCAGAACATCCCGTTTGTTCTGGGTGCCAACCTCCACGGAGGAGAGCTGGTCGTCACGTACCCGTTTGACATGACCAGGGACTGGGCGCCTCGCGAGCACACGCCCACCCCCGACGAGAGCTTCTTCCGCTGGCTGGCCACAGCGTACGCCAGCACCAACCAGGTAGGTGCACCTGGCTGTTTTTAAAGCCAGCATCCTCAGTCAATAAAAGGAGTGTTCTTGTTTAACATAACCAGGTGATGTCGAACCCAGACCGGCGGCCGTGCCACAACAAGGACTTCCTCAGATACAACAACATCATCAACGGGGCCGACTGGCACAACGTACCAGGAAGTAAGAACCTGTCTTTGTATCTCTACTGTGGAAAAGTTAGTTAGATTAAGAAAACCCTGAATGTTTTGATTTTCAGGCATGAATGACTTCAGCTATCTGCACACCAACTGTTTCGAGGTGACGGTGGAGTTGTCCTGTGATAAGTTTCCTCATGCCAGTGAACTTCCTGTGGAGTGGCAGAACAACAGAGAGTCTCTGCTGGTTTACATGGAGCAGGTCGGGCAGCACCAACTCTGTTTGGGTTCATTTTACTGTGAAAGATGATTTTTTAGTGCACTGTATTTTTCGGCCTATAAGTCTTGTTTTTTTGCATAATTTACATGCTCTGCGACTTATACGCCAAACCGACTTATTTATGGATTTTTTAAATATTTATCAACCGATTTTTGGCTGAGATCTGACGTTTTCATTCATTCTGACAGAAAAAATTGAACACTACCATTTTCAGCCGCTAGATGGCACTCGAGTAGTATGGCATGCCGTTGCGTCATGTAATAGGTAAAAGCAATTAACGACACAATCGACTTGCTAAAGTCTGCCACCTTCAGCTCGCCTGGTGCAACCGTCAAATCAGCTTCAGTTCACTGCGCCGCCTCGGAGAAATGCAGCTGATTTGACCTTCAAAGTGCATTTGTTAAGGAAAAGTTAAACTGAGACACACATTTACTATAAAGTCGAGCAAACAAATAATTGTTTTAGGTGGTTATCTTGTTAAATTTCTAATAAATGCACAGCAAGTCGCCCTCTGCGCGTTCCCGTTTCCCCGTATTCACTTTTGAAATGCAGCTGATTTGACCTTCAAAGTGCATTTGTTAAGTAAAAGTTAGACCTTTACTATAATGTTGAGCAAATAATTGTTTTTAAGTGTTAATCTTGTTGAAGTCCACCCGTGCACGCTTCCGCCATTTGACAGCCCAACAAATACACTTGGAATAAAAAAAAGTTCCATGTAGAATCTCTCATTCAGAACTAATTTTTAAGTTAAAATACAAGTTTTAAACTAAAAAATATGGCAGCATACAAAAATAAACATTAAATAAATCATTACGATGGCAAAAATAAAACGAATCGTAAATAAAAGCCAAACTTGAAAAAAGCCTTCTCTCCGACTCCCTGCAGGTCCATCGAGGAATTAAAGGTGTGGTTCGAGACAAAGACACAGGAAGTGGAATAGCAGACGCCATCATCAAGGTTGAGGACATCGATCACCACATTAGATCAGGTGCAGTTTGTAGTTCTGAAAACTCCCTCAATAAATAAATAAATAAATAAAGAGTACCATATCGGCACGATACGCCTGTTGACAATCTATTATACAGCAATGCATATAAAAAATTATCTTTGATCAGAAGATGTGGCCTGGAAGAGTCAAGACCTTATGATAAAGGGTCCGAGACCCCTCGTCTAGTGATGTGCATCAAGTTTCATTCAATGCTCTCTTGGGCGGATCAGATGTTGTGGTATATTAACCATGTTGTCCATTCAAATAACGTGTTTTAATTTAAGGTGACTTCTTTTCCTTCTGCTCTCCCGCGTTGCAGTGGCTGATGGGGACTACTGGCGGCTGCTGAACCCTGGTGAGTACCACATGACGGTGAGTGCGGAGGATTACCTCCCCTCCTCCCGGACCTGCCACGTCACGTACGACCACTACCCCACCGTCTGCGACTTCCACCTCACCAAGCTCCCCAAACAGAGGATCAAGGACATTTTGGCAAAGGGGGGGAAACTTCCGAAGGACCTGCAGCTGCGGCTGCGTCAGCTGCGCATGCGCAAACTCCGCGTCACCACCAAGGCCATCAACCAGAGGCGAGCGGCAGCTGACGCCAAACGGGCGAAAAGGGTATGATGAGGTTTTAAACGATGTGAGAGCAAAGATTATTTTTTATTTATCAGAAGAGGTCCTCTGCTGTGGAGCAGCAGAGTCACAGTTTGTAGTTCATCTCCACATTTCTGACTGGTTCATTTGTGTGACATCGAGCTGTTCTGTTTAAAATAAATAAATAAAAGACTCGATAAGAAAGAGCTTTAAACGAATCTTTATTATACAGCTGACTTTGACTGTACAGGAAAATAAACAAAACTAATCTTTACTTCAGAATAACGAGTTTCCACTTGACACCGTTCCTCATCTTTGGTGCTGCAGGGATCTCAGCGTCTACAGAGGAGGAGAAAAGACGATTCTTCATCTGTCACCAGTTCATAATAAAATAATAAGATTAAGTCAGCGGGTTCTACAGACCCGGCTGTGAAGCTGCTGCAGGTCTCTGCTGCTGGAACGAAGCCATGATGCTGTTTGCAGTCGAGTTCGGCCCGGTGACCTGCAGAGAAAATACATTTATTAAGCTTTACCAGGCAAATCCCAGCGAGATCACAGATCTGGTCTGCAAGAGAGAAAACAGCCAAAATTAGCTAAAAAATAAAAAAAACGTGCTAAAATGTAGCTGAAAGGGAAGAACAAGCCTAAGTTTGCAGAAGAAAGCAGAAAGAACGTATTTGCTGAATTAGAGTTAAATAAGCACAAATATTAAAAAATTAGCTAAAAAATGCTAAAAAGGTAGCTGAAAACATAAAACAAGCATAAATTAGCAGAAAGAACACGTTTGCACAATTTGGCTGAAAGAAGCAGAAATGTGCACAAAAAATGGAAATTATCTGAAAAAAGATGAAATTAGTTAAATAAAAAACACTGAAAAGTAGCTAATAACAGGAAAGAAGCTTAAATTACTAGAAGTGGAATGAGCTCAAAAGATGTGGAATTAGCTGAAAAAGCTAAATTTAGCACAAAATAGCTAAAAAGTAGCTGAAATAGCAGAAAAAGCAAAAATTGAAAGGAGCATAACAAGCTGAAATTAGCAAAAAGAAGTTAATTAGGCTGAAAGTGGCTGAAATTACCATGAAAAACAAATTAATCTGAAAACAGCTAAAATTAGGTAAAAATTCTAAAAAAACAAACAAAAAAAAAACAAGCTTAAATTAGCAGAAGGCCGAAAGAACACATTTACTGAAAGAAGCAGCAGAACCGAAAAGTAGCTGAAATGACAACAAGTGCAGAGAAACACATTTTTTGCTGAATTAGACTGAAAAAAAAAGTTGAAATGAGCTAAAAATTTCAAAACAGCTACACAGTAGCTGCAATAGTAGAAAAAGCTGAAACTTGCAGTAATAGGCTGAAAGGAGCATAACAAGCTGAAATGAGCAGATAAAAGTTGTAAGAAGCAAAGAAAGGAACACCAACAGCTGAAAAATGGCTGGAAAAAGGTTAAATTTGCAGCAGGAAGTTGAAAGAAGCTGAACCCGAACAAGAAGTGAAAGGAGCAGTAAAAGGAAACAGATCTAAAGAGTTGAAGGATGTAAAATGAGCTCAATTAATTTTCCATGAAAAAACAAAACAGAAAAGGCTAAACAATTCAAAAAGCTAAAGTTGCAGCAGTACCAAAAGTCAGAGCAGAATTGTTCTGAAACAGCTGAATTTGTTGAAATAGACTGAAAGCCGCGGGACGAGAACCGCGCTGAAAAACATACGGAAGAAAAACGGATGATCGAGTGAACGCTTCATGAACATCCAGAGCACGATGAACCAACACTTTAAAAAAGGGTGTGCAGAAAAAAAAAAGATTTCAAAACATTGTTTATGATACGAACTTTAGTCTTTTGAAGTTTTTTAATTTGTGCAAAGCGACCACAGAACTGATCGGTCCCTCAGAGGAAACTAAAGCAGGTAAGATTATCTGCAGAAGTCAAAGAGTTTCTTGTTTTTACTTTTCAAAGTTGAGCCAAGACTTTGGGTAAAACTGCTGAGAAGCTGCACGTTTATGTTCTACTTTGGTAAATGACACGATGACATGAAAGGGTGTCCTGCTCACCGGGGCGTGGTTGTTCTGCAGACCTTCAGGCCACACCTCAGGAACAGCTGCCTCCACCGTCTGCAGCGTTCCCTCGTACGCCAGCTGGAGCTTCTCGGCTTGTTTGTCAAACTGGAACAGAACCAAGGCCGTCAGGAGGCCGTGGACCTCCTCTGTGGAGGAGCAAGGTCACGTTTTGTAGAACAAGCCTTTGAAATGTTGCATATTGTCACCATACTGCATTTATTTATTAATATTTAAAAGGTGTGCTTGACCAGAGGTGGCGCTATGAGAATATGAGACACGCCGTCAAGTGGTGGAGCAAACGTGAATGAAGTTTCGTTAAATTATCTTATTTTACCGGATCGGGAGTTATGGGCAGGGCAAGTAAAGTCCTTGCTTTAACTTTGACCTTGATTTGTGACCTTGGAGCTGGCATGATGAAAAAGGCATGTGACACTCTATCTCAGGGCTATTCAACTAAACTGCTCAGGGGGCCACAGTTACTGAAAGCCAGCAGTTAAAGTCAAAATGTAAAGAAACCAGGGACGCACGATATTGGAGTTTTGGCTGATATCGATATGGTAAAACTTATTTGGCCCATACCTGATACCAATCCTGATATTTTTTCCCCTAGACCTACACAGAGACTACATAGCTTACCCTGCTGTGGAATTAAAATCCTACATTATTCTTTGTCAGTTGGCCTGCTACCAAATGCAGATGTCAAAAAGGCTGAAAATGATGCAACACGTCAACTTGGATTCTGTTTAATGTCAAATTTATTCATGACATTTACTCTCTCTAACACAATGACAAAACAAACAGTGCAAATTTGTAAATTTTCACAAATTTAAACTCAACGGCACGCATGATGTCATAACGCTGTGCTGGCGATATTTAACTTTATCGCTAATATCGGCCGATATCGATACCATGCCGATAATATCGTGCATCCCTAAAAGCAACCAAGTATTACGATAATCTGTTACCTTTTAAATTAGTTTATTTTGTTGCATTGAACCATGAATGCAATAAACAGAACCCCCCCAATTTTTTTTAATGAACTCATTGGTGGGCCGAACTGAAGTCACCCGCGGACCAGATGTGGCCCGCGGGCCACCAGTTGATCAGCCCTGCTCTGTGTAGTGATGATAGTGAACGTGTGTGAAGGTTCAGTAAATTATCTTGAACGGGTCAGAAAGGCCTGGACAAGAGGAAGTTTACGGTCTGATGGCGACTTTACCGTTATACGTCCGCTTTTCAACAGGCGTATAATAATAATGATGACAATAATAATAATAATGATAATAATAAAGGGACTAAATTTAAGAACCCTTGACGCTTTTTATAAATGATTGCAAAATGACGTGAAGAGTTCTGAGCAGGACTGTGTGTGGGCATGTGAGCGGTGTAATGTCACGGCGACGGTAAAGGAGCTGCTCTGCACCTCTCATTTTGTCCACGGTGCTGAGGATTTCACCGAGCGCGTGCATCAAGGCTCTGTCCTCCATCGGGCTTCCTTCCTTCAGGCTCAGCTTCTTCCTCTCCGCTTTCCGGCGGTTCTTCGACGACCTCCTGCAAGCGGAGCTCAGAGGAATGAATCACGGACAGAAATGATTTGGTTGTTTGACTCTCTGAGTGGGCGGAGTCTTACGAGGAGATGCGGGAGTTACTCTGGGAGTATTTGGAAGCGGTCATCGCGCTGCTGGCCTCGGAGTAAAGCTCTACGTCAGGACAATCCGGACCGTCTTCATCTGAGGAACAAACCCGGTTAAAACATGACGTTAAAACTGAAAAGTTCCTCTTTTAGTGAACATGACCTTTTTAATTTGCAAATACAATGTTTTGAAATAAAAATAGCCAATGCCAATTATATGACATGCATTGTGAACAGTTTTATAATCACGTTTGGCAAATGAACTTAATTGTTTTCAGGCGGTTAGCTTGGTAAACTTCGAATAACTGCACAGCGAGTCCTCGCTCTGTGCTCCAACGCCGCTGACTTGAGCGTCAAAGTGCATTTATTAAAGAAAAGTTAAACTGAGACACACCTCTTATACAAATCTCACGGTGGTTTTAGACTCTGACTTTGCCGTACTTTCCACCGTACACGTGTCATCAGGACATTTTAACAGATGAAGCATGAACTATTTGGGTTTAACGGCAGATAAATCGGACAATCATCGGCATAACCATGAATAAAAAAGCATCACTTGTTCTCACCCAGCATGTCCAGTCTGGCCTTTTCTTTCTGCTCTCGGACCACAGCCAAACGGTTCCGGTGCCGAGTGAACGTTGCCACCTGAGCCTCCAGAAACACCGTCTGAGTGTTTACAGCTGAAACACAGAAAACAACCGCTTCGCTGTTTTTAATATTTGTGACTGCAGAACGATGTAAGTTCTCAGTTCCACACTAAATGACCATATTTCCAACTTCACTTTTATTCCAGGTGTTAGGGTGAAGTCTCATGTTCAGGTAGGTGACGCGACCCATCTCTTACCTTCTAGCAGCGCAGGTTTCAGGTTGGTTTCTGTGATATCTTGTCTGCTGTGCATGTAAATCTTAAAGAAGAAAATATGACTGATTTTAATAAGCTACATAAACAGGATTATTACAAAGCTATACGGAGTTTATTTCTTTACTGACCAATCTGAGCGCCTCCTCCCAGACGGCACCAGTAATCAGAGCCAAGATGGCCTCCTCACAGTCCTGTAGTCAAGAGGAAAATAACTGACCTAAACTAGCAGCTGTGCACAGGCAGTAAACCGTTTCTGGCTGATGGGTCATTGCATTTACACTGGGAAAGATGTTTTAGTGACTCTGGTTACACTGGGAAAGATGTTTTAGTGACTCTGATTTATGGATCTGTGCAGGAGGTCTTACCTTGGCATACTGGTCCAGCAGCAGAGCAGCTTCAGAGTACCGTCGCTGCTCCGTCAGCTTCTCTGAGAGACAAGAAAGCAGAAACGTTCACCAGAACCTCGAGCAGGCGTGCTGCGTTGGACTAAAACCTGCCGACCCGCCTTTCCGTCTGTCAGTCAGACGGTCTGTTGTCATGGTTACCTGCCAGGTCTCTGGCCAGCAGAGCCAACTGGTCGGGCGGCAGTGCGATCTGCTGCGCCACACAGATGGCGTTCCTCCAGCTGGAGCTGATGGTGAAAGCCTGTAGGGCTCGGACTAGCTCTCCACATCGCCATAGCAACAAGCCGGCTTGCTCTGCCTGTTGCTGCTCCATCAGGTGTTCGGCGTAGCCACAGCTCAGAAACTGGAGAGAGAAACGGCCAGTTTGGTCTTTGTGTTGAGATGTTGAGATGAGAATTGAACAGAATTAAAGTAAACCTTAATGTTTTTGATGAAAGATGCTCAAGTGCCCCAGAAAGCAAAGACTGACAGATCCTGGCAAGTGGAGGCCAAAACATTTAGCCTCGTCACACGCAGGCGCTCACATTGCTGCCCAGGACGGGTTGAGTAAACGAGTCGACTCTAGGAAACCTCGTGAGTTTTTACATTTCACGCCGACAAGTCGCCGTCAGTGATTGTGTCACGTGATCAGCGCCGGCCGCTGGCTACAAAACAGAGTTGAGTTTCTTTTTATTTAATCTACTACATGAAATAAAAATAAAAACGGGTGCGCTCCACCGGAGAATCCACCACCGCCGCGGTGGTTTATTTTATTTAGTGGATTAAATTAAATAAAACGAACTTTTGCAGCTTAATAATAGTTTTGGTTTTCCTGTTACTTATTTGCAGTATGATAAATGGTAGGAGCATAAATATACATACATGCTCCCGATATTTTGTTGTTCTTTTGTTTTGTAAATAATAAATGACAGGTTTTATATTTATTTTTTACATCTTGAGTTCTTGTGACATCATCAACTAGTCGACGTGGACTCGACTATAATCCTGTTAATGTCGACTTTTAAAAATATCTAGTTGTTCAACCCAGTACACGTCTGTCTTCGGGGGTGGGTCCTCGTGACTCAGTTGGACTGCCTGTATAAGTAAAGGTAAAACAACTGACCAGTTAAATTACCGAACAGGTCACAGTGGGAGTCCCCACCCCCCATTGGGGCACAACAATCTGCAGCCTCATAAAAAAAGTGGGAGTCGTAAATTAAATTTAATCGCAAATTCGCCTCGAGACGAAAGTGACGCTGAGAGTGACGACGGACGTGTGATGAAGAAGTTCTGCGTCTGTTCAGTTCTGACACTGAAGAAGACGACGCTAGTGGTTTTACTGCACAGGAGGAAGATGCTGCGACTTGTTCTGGTAGGCTACTGTAATTTATTTTATTTTTTTATCAGCCGTGTTACAGGCACTGTTCAGAAAAAAAAAAAAAAAAAAATTGTATGCATTTGTGTTTGTTACCGGTACGTATTTAATTAAACGTTTTTAAAAATCTTTCAATATCTCGTTACAGCATGAACACCCGCAGCTTATAGACGAGTGCGCCCTATATATGTATAAATTTTTACTTTCTTTTTAAATTTTGTGGGCGTGGCTTATATTCAGGTGCGCTCAATAGTCCAGAAATTATGGTACGCGTGTGTGTGGCGGCATCCATCTTGGATTCTGATGCGGTAACCCAAAGGGAACCTTTCTTACGCCACACACTGAAATGGAAGTTGGTACCGCACGTTTCTGCGCTCACAACATGCACGGATGAAGGGCATTTCCAGTGCCCCTGTGTCGCTCTGCAACAGGGGACAACAACCTGAACCGTTCGGAGCTTTTACCTTGTACTGAGGACTGTCTGCCGCGTACAACCTCAGAGCTTCACTGTAGAGTTTCTGCTCCTTGACGAGGTGCAGAACTTCAGGGAAGTGCTCCTCTCCTGAGCACAAAACACACACCGGGTCCCACTACACTCGTCTCCACTGCACCGTAAACACCACCAAATAAGCTGATGCACAAAACGAGTCAGGGTTGCACCGACAGAAACGTGACTGACCACACTTGGCGAGGTGGACCAAGGCCTTCTTGTAGCGTTTCAGGTGTTTGTCGATGGTGTAGCGTTGGTAGTTCGGCTCCAGGCTCGTCAGCATGTTTAAGAAAGGAAGGTACTCTTTGGGGTCCTGAAGGAATTGAACAAGTTAAAATAAAAATAAAAAGAACAAAATCAGAATCAGACTACATTATTCTAAAACCATAGATTTAAATTGTGATGACTAATAAAGAATTAACTGCAGGACCGTCCGGGTGGTTTGAAATTAATAATCTCAAGTGTTATATATTTAAAACCACGTTTTATTTAGAGAAGAGAGTCTGAAAAAATGTGCAATCTAAAATATCAAACTTTAAATATTTTCTTAATTATCTCGTTAAGAGAACGATTATAAACTAGAGAAATTGAATTTTCAGTAAAATTGCAGTGTGAATGCTTATAGCAGAAAAACAGCTGAAACTATAATCTGAATAGGTAAAAACAGCTGATATTAGCTAAAAACATGCTGAAATGTAGCTGAAATAGAAGGAAAAGCCTAAATTAGCAGAAGAATGCAGAAAGAACACATATTTGCTGAATTAAGTTTAAATAAGCAGAAATGAGAACAAAAATGAAGAAATTAGCTAAAAAAAAAAAAAAGCCGAAATGAGCAAAACGTAACTGAAAAGAAGCTGAAAAGTCAGAAAGAAGCTTAAACTAACAGAAGGAAGCAGAAGGAGATGAAATGAGCTAAAAAGAACATGGAATTAGCTGGAAAAAGCAAAAATTAGCACAAAAACAACTAAAAAGTACCGGTAGCTCAAGCTAAAAGAAGCATAACAAGCTGAAATTAGCATAAAGATGTCAACTGGGCTGAAAGTAGCAGAAATGACCATGAAAAAGTTGAATTAATCTTAAGATAGCTGAAATTAGCTTTAAAAAAAGCTATAAAAAAGCTAAAAAGTAGAACAGGCTTAAGTTAGCAGAAGAAACACTTGTTTGCTCAATTAGGCTGAAAGTTGCAGAAATGAGCACAAAAGAGTGGAGATTGGGGGGGGGACGACGAAATTAGTAAGAAACAGCTGAAAAGTAGCTTAAAGAGCAGAAAAATGCTTAAATAACCAGAAGGAAGTGGAGAGAGCACTTTTTTAATGAAATGGGCTGAAAAAAGTTGAAATGAGTGCAAAAGATGTGGAATTAGCTGAAAAAGATCAAATTTGCATTAAAAAAGCTAAATAGTAGCTGAAATGGCAGAAAATGCTGAAGCTTGCAGAAATCAGCTGAAAGGAGCATAACAAGCTGAAATTAGCAGAAAGAAGTAAGAAAAAGCACAAAAATATTGTAGTTAGCTGAAAGAATCTCAAAGGAGCACAAAAAAGCTGAAAAAAAAAAAAAAAAGCTGAAAGTAGCTGAAAAAAGTGTGAATTTGCACCAGGAAGCTGAAAGAAACTGAAGCGGAACAAAATGTGAAAGGAGCAGTAAAAGGTTGTAAACAGATGTAAAGGATGTAAAATGAGCTCAATTCATTTTCTACGAGAAAAAAAATGGCAGAAAAGGCTAAAATATTTAAAAAAGCTAAAGTTGCACCAATACCAAAAGTCCGAGCTAAACATTTTGATTTATGATTTGTTGAAATAGATTGAAAACTGCGGGACGAGAAGAAACATGGATCAAAATCGAGTGAATGCTTCATCAATACTCTCACAATAAATATTGATTATAAATAAGTGACATCAAAGGATTCAGTCTGTTCATGTGAACTTGATGACAGGAAGTAATATCGCTTCATGAGTGACGTCAACAGTCACGTCTTTTCCTCTGACTTCTTGTACCTTCTGAGATTTCTCAGCCACCATGAGAACGAGGTCGAAGTCGTACGTCCCAAGCGAGTGCTCGTACAGATCGTTGACATTAACGAGGAAGAGGAGGTACTTTAACGCCTCTTCAGCGCTCACAGAGCCGGGAGCTTCAGGACGATTCTCTACAAACACAAACACTGAATTATCTGAATTATCGAGACGATACAGAAAACGCCACGTAATATCCACCACCGTGTCCGCAGGTCATCCGTACGTGCACCTCACCTCGAAGCTCGTGAACTTTCTGCAGAGCGATCTCCAGCTCTGGAACGGTCTTCTTCACATGAGAAGTCAGGATGGACAGACAGAACCTTAAAGAACAACACCACGATCAGTGCGCCCCCACGTGCACATTCTTAGCTTCAGATTCTGCGGAAACAAGCGGCACGCCCATGTCTCCTGTTGCTGAGGGATCTGAACAGTGAATGTTGGTAGTTTTTGCTGTAAGTCTCGAGGACGTCATCCAGCTCCTGGAACCTCTAATGAGGCTACCAGGCACCCCTCCACCGATCAGACACCTACCCTGCCCCTCGTCCTCCCAACCAAGGCAACCCTACAGAGGGGTTTGTTGATCCAGGATGGAGACATTGTGATTGTGAAATACTTTGTTGATTTTGATCAATTTGAAATAAATTAAAAACTTCTCCATGCCTATAATCGAGCACGGTGCCTGTCCGCCTGTGAACTTTTATGCCTCGCAATAATGACGTTGCATAGATCATTATATCATTGCACGTATCATTATTAGGCCTGTTGCGATAAACAATAAATCGATTAATCGCATAATAAATTTAAATTATCGACCTCATTTTCATTTGTCGGCTTTATCGTTTCTTCGTGTCTCTCTCTTTCTACTGAAGACACTGGATGACAAACGGCTCAACTCCGGTGCTCTTCACTGACTCCTCCCTTTCTCCTTAAAATCCATTTTAACCGTCCAAAATCATGTTTTTGGATCGTTAACAGCAGCTAAGCTAAGAAGCTAAGCTAAGAGGCCGACCTCGAGGAAAAACCTCCGTCTTGTCGAAGCTCCAAAATTCACGGTTGAAACCAGTGCCTTCGTGTAAAAAGTAGTTTTTTTTCCTGCAAAAAGAAGCTGAGAACTTGTTTAATGATTTATTTTAAATTAAAAGCTTTGTGTTACAAAGGCTACGCTAAAGAGCTCAAACCACACCGAGCGTCCGCCATTTTGAGAACCGAAAAGCAGGAAGGGGCCTCCCTCCCATTTTTCATAAAGAGACACGCTGCTCGCTCCCTCACTATCCATCCTTCGGTTCAAAGTCGATAAAAGGTACTACACTCAAAACAAATTAACCAACATTTCTTCTTAAATTTGACAATAATTACTAATTATTGTCAATAATTAGTAATTGTCAAATTTCAAACAATATTATCATTTATCGCAATAATTTCTGAGACAATTAATCATCCAGCAAAATTTGTTATTGTGACAGGCCTACTCCAGATGCCCTTCCTGATGCAACTTGGGCTCGAACACACAACCTCAGGATTACAAGACCACGGCACTGACCACCAAGCAAGCGCAGGCCCCATAAGAACTAAGAATTGTGTCATAATCAGAGCAACAAATACAAACTACACTTTTGAACACAGTAGATGTGATTTCCTGCATCTTGGTGTATTTTAACGGGTTGTTAAACATCTACGTGCTTGTAATTAAAAAAAAAAAGTTTGTTTTTGCAGACCCCCCGGGGGTGCTCTTATGAAGCTCTTGTGAAGATTTTAGAAACAATGCTGTTTTTATATACCGTATATAACAAATGTTCAGTTCTGCATGGCGACTCTGACAGAAACATGACTGACTTGTTGGGATCCATCGACTCCATGGCACTCCGTAACGCATCACAAACAACGTCAACCTTCTTCTGGGCTGAAACCGGCCGGGTCTGGAGCGGGCTGCTGTCAGGACGGGGGTACATGCTGCTGGTCGTGTCTTCCTCTCTGGGCTCAGCAGACACAACAGAGTTAATAAAAGAACTCTTCCAGGAGATAAAAGCCTCATTTTGGAATCTCGACAGCTTCTTACTTGAGCTCAGTGAGGAAGAGGTTGATGGAGTTGATGGAGTCGAGTTGTGTGATGAAGGTCTCAACGTTTTCCAGGAAAACCTGCAGTTAAAAAACAATCATTGGATTTAATCCTGAGGGTATTACCGTACATGTCGCTTGGCCGTATAAGTCGCATCTATTATGCGTCACCGCTGACCACCCAGAAACATGGGCCAGTGTTGTGCCAAAAATAGATTGGCTGCCAAATGGCGGCCGCGGGAGCGTGCACGGGAGGACTTTAACGAAAATTTTACAAGATTAACACTTAAAAACAATTATTTGTTTGCTCAACATTATATCAAAAGGTGTGTCTCAGTTGAATTTTCCTTAATAAATGCACTTTGACGGTCAAATCTGCTGCATTTCAAAAGCGGATACGTGACTGTGGGAGCGCGCAGAAGGAGCACTGCTGTGCATTTCTTCTAAATTTTACAAGATAACCACCTAAAACCAATTATTTGTTTGCTCAACATTATAGTAAAGGTGTGTCTCAGTTGAACTTTTCCTTAATAAATGCACTTTAATGGTCAAATCTGCTGCATTTCTCCTGGGCGATGCAGCAAAATGCAGATGTCCAGGAGTTCTGGAGCGAGACGAAGGTGGCCGGTATGGCAAGCCAAGTGTCTCATTAATAGCCATTTTTACATATTAAGGAGACGCTTATTACTCAAGAACTTATTACTTGAGTGCCCTCTAGTGGCTGAAAATGGTAGTGTTCAATATTTTCCATGTCAGAATGAATGAAATCGGCAGATCACAGCCAAAAATTGGGTTTTAAGTATTGGGAGAAAAAAACACAAGTCACAGGCATGCTAATTTATGCAAAAAGATGCGATTTATACAGCGAAAAATACGGTAGTCATTAATCGTCAACAATGTTAACTTCTCGCTCCAAAATCATTTTATTACAAGGATGCAAACAGAGCAGCAGCAGTTCAAGCAGTCTGATGCAAAAACTTTTCAGAGCTAAATTAATTTGTTAAAACTTCTTGAAGGTGAACGTTGTCCTCCTTTCTAAGAGAAACCACCAACTGGCCTGAGATCAGTCAGAACGGCCTGTTTTTAAAATCCGCCGCAGCTCGTCTTGTTTTTACAAACATCTGCTTGTGTTTTAACCTTTCAGTCATTTCAGTTGATTTCTTATCCATAAGCTTCTATATTCATACCCATCTGCTCACAACAGACTCATGTTCAGGCTGCTGTTTATAGTGGTTCCCAACCCTGGTCCCTGAGGAACACCATCCTGAATGTTTTAGTTGTTCCTCTGCTCCAACACACCTGATTTGAATGAAAGGGTGATTAACAGGCTTCTGCTGAACTTAAGGAAGTAATTAAACCACTGAATCAGGTGTGTTGGAGCAGAGAAGCAACTAAAACATGCAGGATGGTGTTCCTCAAGGACCAGTGTTGGGAACCACTGGTTTAATATTATACTACATTATTATTGTTTAGCGCATAAGATCCTTGTATACTCTTTGTTTTTTCATACTTTATATTTTTGCTTTTTTTTGGGGTAGCTGGGACCTTGTGTGCACAATTTTATTCCACCTTATGTACCACATGAGATGCAAATGACAATAAACTCACCTCGAACCTTGATTTAGAAAACATTTTGCTGCATATATCTGATATTACTTGATTGTGTTTAAAGCATCGTTCTGTACGTTCAATGTGTTTCCTGCGTTTCTCACTTTTATTTATTGATCTTCTGTATTGACTGCGCTGTTTGAGAAAGTTCCTCAGATAATCTTTATTTCTTTACCATCCAGTCGTGTTACAAAACTTTACAGTAAAGTTCATAAATACCTTTGGATTGTGATCAAAAATGAGGTTCAGGTTGATCCTCAGCTTCCTCATGCATTCAAAGGACTCTCTGAATCTCAGCCTGTTAACAAAAACATAAAATCAAATGAACTAGTAAAAAAATCCAAACATGGGACTTTTGATCAGCCTCTCAAGCTGAACGACCGGAGTAGCTGTGAGTTTTCATCGGCTCGTTCAGTCTGGACAGACGGGATGCTGCTGAAGCTTCGGCTGACTCCATCAGTTACTAATCTAAAAACTTTAACAGGAAGGATGAAACTCACTGGTCCAACCACTTCCTGAGCTGAGCCAACACCAGCGCTCTGTGGTGTACGGTCTCCAGATTCCCCCGAGGCATCTGGGCACACATGAAGTCAAATCTGTGAAACACGCTGAAGCAACACGTTTAAAAACCGTCAACTGTAAATGAAGCACGTGTTTTTGGTTCAGCTGACCTGAAGAACCACTCTGGTGTCCTGAGGCACCACGGTGACAATCCTGGATCCTCTCTCCACTCGCCGAAGCGTCTCATCATTCTGACCTCCATCAGAGGCCAACGCTGCCTGCAGCCCTAAGGGGTCAAAGGTCATCTTTACTTCAACTGTACCGGAAATACGAGCAGCAACATGACCCTCCTTGTCAAGGCAGATGCTAAGACATAAAGCCATACTGGGACACAGCACTGGGTCACGGCAAAAATCAGCCTGGTCCCCTTTGGTACCTTGGAAGTACCCACATACAGTACCTTGCCAAAAGTATTTGCTCACCTGCCTTGACTCACATATGAGCTTAAGTGACATTCCATTCCTAATCCATAAGGTTCAATATGACGTTGGTCCACCCTTTGCAGCTAGAACAGCTTCAACTCTTGTCTTGGCTGTCCACAAGGTTTAGGAGTGTGTTTATGGGGATTTTTGACCAATCTTCCAGAAGTGCATTTGTGAGGTCACATGTTGGACGAGAAGGCCTGGCTCTCAGTTTCCGCTCTATTTCATCTCAAAGGTGTTCTGTTAGGTTGAGGTCAGGACTCTGTGCAGGCCAGTCCAGTTCATCCACACCAGTCTCTGCCATCCATGTCTTTATGGACCTTGCTTTGCTGGAAGAGGAAGGGGCCAGCTCCAAACTGTTCCCACAAAGTTGGGAACATGGAATTGTCTAAAATATCTTGGTATGCTGAAGCAGTCAGAGTTCCTTTCACTGGAATTAAGGGGCCAAGCCCAGCTCCTGAAAAACAACCCCACACCTTAATCCTGACTCCACCAAACTGTACACTTGGCACAATGCAGTCAGACAAGTACCGTTCTCCTGGCAACCGCCAAACCCAAACTCATCCATCAGATTGCCAGATGGAGAAGCGCGATTCATCACTCCAGAGAACGCGCCTCCACTGCTCTAGAGTCCGGTGGCGGCGTGCTTCACACTACTGCATCAGACGCTTTGCATTGCACTTGGTGATGTATGGCTTGGATGCAGCTGCTCGACCATGGAAACCCATTCCATGAAGCTCTCTGCGCACTGTTCCTGAGCTAATCTGAAGGCTGCATGAAGTTTGGAGCTCTGTAGTGATTGACTCAGCAGAAAGTTGGCGACCTCTTCACACTATACGCTTCAGTATCTGCTGACCCCGCTCCGTCAGTTTACATGGCCTACCACTTCGTGGCTGACTTGCTGTCATTCCCAAACACTTCCATTTTCTTATAATACAGTTGACTGTGGAATATTTAGGAGCGAGGAGATTTCATGACTGGATTTGTTGCATAGGTGGCATCCTATCAGTTCCACGCTGGAATTCACTGAGTGACCCATTCTTTCATAAATGTTTGTAAAAACAGTCTCTATGCCTAGGTGCTTCATTTTATACACCTGTGGCCATGGAAGAGACCAGAACACCTAATTCTGATCATTTGGATGGGTGAGCAAATACTTTTGGCAATGTAGTGTATGTACAATGTACCGTAATTTCCGAACTATAAGCAGCTACTTTTTTCACATTCTTTGAACACCGCGGCTTATAATAATAATAATAATTATTATTATTATTATTTTTTCATTTACCCTTTATTAATACAAGAAGTCTCATTGAGCCACGAGAACTCATTTTCAAGAGAGACCTGTTTAGGGAGCAGATGGTTGGAGTTTAACGGCCTTGCTCGGGGGGCCCAGAGTGGGGCGAATGAGTGTGGAGGGAGGTGTGGGTGTTCCACCTTTTCCACCCACATTTTGATGTTTATGGTACCGGGAGTTGAACCTGCGACTTTCTGATCACAGCCCATCTTCTAACCTCTGCGCCACCACTCCCCAATTAATAATAATAATAACAATAATAATAATAAGTGATATGTGTTGTCATCATTGTAGGTTCCCATACAATGGTGAAATTATTCTCTGCATTTAACCCATTGCACCCGGGATGCACCCAGGTGGAGCAGTGGGCAGCGATGTAAGCACTCGGGGAGCAACTGGGGATTAGGTGTCTTGTTGTTTTTTTTTTTTTTTTTTTTTTTTTTATATTATTGCTTCGGTTCATCCTGGGCTGTTCCGATTCTTTTAATCTAGGTTCCTGGTTGCGATGGACGGCACTCTGACCGGGGTGGCTGCCGGCTTTTGGCGGGGGGTCGGCTATGGTAGTGTACGTGTGGTCATTGGTGGTGTAGGGCGGCGGTTGGGGGCGTGGCTTCGTCTCATCCGGGCACTGGCTGGTCTTCCTGTGTGGCATTTGCGGTGGGGGTGCTCTGTGTGTGGGGGGGTGCATGGGTGGCGTGCTGGGGCGTCTCCGGGCCTATGGTGCGGAGCTCTTGATGTGAGAGCCGGCCCTCCTCGGCTGCGGCTCCCTGCTGCTCTGCCCCTTGGGCTGGGGCCGGCCTGTGGTCGCTGTCAGGTAGATGGTGCATGCGGTCGGCCCGACAGAGATTCTGTCGGGCTATCTGTGTGTGCCTGTTGGTTGCTCGGGTTGGGTTTTTGGTGGTCCCCCCTCTCTTGGATCAATTTGGGCCCCACGTTTGGTGTGGGGTCCACTCCCCCCGGTCGTGCCCCCCTTTGGCGGGGGACTCCCTTGCCGCCGGTGCATTGGTGGCTCTCGGTGTCTGGGCTGGGTGGTGGGGTGCACGTCGGTCCGCCCTGGTTGCTGCCTGGCGGGGCCTGGGTGCCCTGGCTCTGTCGGGGCTCTGCTAGGGGGTGGTATGGCCTCGGGGCTTGGGGCTCGGTGTCCATGGCCGGATCTACTTGGGGGGGGCATGGGTCGCTGGCCGGGCCTGTGGGCTCGTCGTTGCAGCTTCCTGGAGGCTCTGCATTGTGGTGGCTGGGGTCACCCGGTTCTTTCCTCTGCTCCTCTCTGGGGGGGTGCGGTTCTCCCTGTTGGGAGACTCTTGGGGCTCCGGGCCTGTGGGCCGCTGTGTGTCTGTGGCTCCGGTCCTCCCTATGTTGCCATTGTGTCCTGGGGGGGCGGGTCTGTGGGCCCCCGTGTCCACTATTGGGCATTCTTTTGGAGAAATCTGGTGGTGGTGGGCGTGCTTGCGCGGGTGTTTGGATTCAGGTGCTTTGACAGATGCACGCTAGGTTGGGTAGTGGTGGAAGCTAGATGATTCATTGTGCGATGTCGAATGTTTCATGGTGATATTGTGGGTGGCATTGTGCTGTGCATGTTGTTTTGTCATGGTGGTCTCTCGTCTTATCTTCTTCTTTTTTATTATTTATTTATTCTTCTTTCTTCTCTTTCTTTAAAAAAAAAAATAAATAAAATTGAGCGATGATGATAAGTTCATTGAAACACTTCACAATGTTTCTACACTTAAACTGAGCTCATAAAAAAAAAAAAAAAAAAAAAAAAAAAAAAAAAAGGTGTCTTGTTCAAAGACACCACGGCATGTGGGAATGGCTGGGGATCGAACTTGAGACTTTCGCGTCCCGAGTCGGCTGCCCTACCTCTACCTCATCTCAGTTCCTATAAAATGCTGCGGCTAATTCATGGATTTATTTTTTTGATGGGCTAACCAGTTTTAGGCCACCAAAACATTTAGCCTCATCACACCCCGGCGCTCACACAGCTGCTCAATACACGTCTCTCTTGGGGGGTGGGTCCTCATGACTCAATGACACTACCTGTATAAATAAAAGTAAAACTATAAAAATCTGACCAATGAAATGACTGAACAGGTCACAGCGTTCCCTCCTCCCCGTTCCACACTTGAATTAAATGTGAACTGTGCATTAAACTCCGAGCTCAGTGGGAGGCCTGGATGACTGACGGCGGGAAATCGTTTACCAAAACTGTCCACATGCAAACGTCAGCGTTTGTTCAAGTCTGCCAGTGGATCCTGACAGCGGAGCAGCGTCAAAGAAATCCTCTAACAGTTTTCGAAAGGCTGCTGCGTGATGAAGAGGACAGCACAAGCTCAAGGGCGCTGTGTGCAGGAGGAAGATGAAGATAACCATCAACGACTTCCTGATAGGCTTGTTTTTTATTCAACCAGTCACGTTACAGGCACTGTTCAGAAATTTTTTTTACTGTACATATTTGTGTATGTTACCGGTACGTATTTAATTAAAAGTTTAAAAAATCTTTCTGTGTAAATATCTCAGGTTACAATGTGGACACCCGCGGCTTATATATATATATATATATGTACCTTTTTTAGTGGGCGTGGCTTATATTCGGGTGCGCTCAATAGTCTGGAAATTACGGTAGGTACCTGTAAGTACATTGGAAGGATTGTCCTAAGTACTCTGTAAGTGACCCATAAACACCATCTAAGTATCCCGTCTGTACAACATAAGTACCCTGTAATTACTGTATTATTACTTAAAATGTAACCAAAGGTACCCTATAATTACCCTGAAAGTACCATGTAATTAAATCACAAGTAACCTTCATGTATCTGTGTAGAACCCTGTAATTATCCTATAAGCAACCCAAGTACGCTGTGAAAAATGATGATGTAAAATCAGTCTAATGCAGATGCTTCTTACTATTAATGTAATAAGATCAACAGAAGTACACAGCTCAGATCGTACCATTAGTTAGCCAGTCCTAAATCAGCTGACAACTACCGCTGTTGTGAAAATAACTTATGATTTATACACGCTGATTAAACTGAGCAGTACCTGCTCAGTAAAAATTAACACTGTAACAGAAAATGTTCATGTTTGACTTGAATCAGAGTAAACCGTGTGTTTGCATCCGTCACCTGTGACTGTGAGCGCGCTCAGCTGGAGGCAGCGGCAGCTGTGAGAGTGTGTGGTGACGAGGAGGAAGTCATCACAAACCGCAAACGAACACACATTGGAAGCAAGCTGAGGAAGGAGCAAACTGCAATAAATATACATTCTTTTAAAACGTCACATCGGTTTTTATTTCCTGATAGATTTAGGCTTCAGACCTCTGTGTCTCCTGCGTACAGGCGGGATCTGTCTGTGAGGCCAAGCAAGGATTCCTAAAGATGTGAGGCAAAGACGAGAGAAACATTTAGACCCGATCAATATAATCAGTAATACTAGAGAAACTGCATGTCCTGCAAAAATGCAGTATGAACGCTTACTGCTGAACAACTTGCTGAAAAACAGCTGAAATTAGCTAAAAACATGCAGAAATGTAGCTGAAATGGAAGAACAAACCAAAGTTAGCCCAAGAAAACGGAACACATATTTGTTGAATCAGGTTTAAATGAGCAGAAATTAGCACAAAAATTAGGAAATGAGCAAAAAAAAGCTGAAATTAGAAAAAAATATATAGCTAAAAAGTAGCTGAAAAGTCAGAAAGAAGCTTAAACTACCAGAAGGAAGTAAAAGGAGCTGAAATGAGCTAAAAAAAATGTGGAATGAGCTGAAAAAGCTCAATTTAGCACAAAACAGCTAAAAACAGATGAGATAGCAGAAAAAGCTGAAACTAGATGAAAGTAGCATAACAAGCTGAAATAGCTAAATAAGTTAATTAGGCTGAAAGTAGCAGAAAAACAAATAACTTAAATTTATTTGAAAACAGCTGAAAATAACCAAAAAATGCTAAAGGTAGCTGAAAAGGTAGAATAAGCTTAAATTAGAAGAAGAAAGCAGAAAACACGTTTGCTGAAAGTAGCTGAAATTAGTGGGAAAAAAAAAAAAAGTTTGAATTTGCACAAGGAAGCTGAGGCAGAACAAAATGTGAAAGGAGCAGTAAAAACGTACGGAAGAAAAATGGATCACAATTGTTTGAACGCTTCATAAACATTCACACAGTAAGGCTGATTATTCAAATATTTCTTTTATTCATCTGAAAAAGGGACACCCCGCCCCTCGCACAGGGACTGCTGGACATGGGCACCAGCGACCCCCGTGACCCAAAATGGAAGAAGCGAGTAAAGATGATGGATGGATGGATGAAAAAGGGACAGTGCTCATTAATTAATACAATAATTGACTGTTTTTACTTGTTAAGGCTGAACTTTGATTTCTACACCCAAACTAAACATCCGGAGAGTCTCTGGTGTGTAATTTGGCTGATCCTGAGAGACCGACACTGCGGAGATTTGAGCTTCAGCAGACATGAACTCAGCAACGAGTTTTAAAGGACGAACAGGTTCAGCGGGAGCAGCAGTTTCATGTTCAAGGATGAATGAGAAACCTGCACCGAATGGTCACAAAGAGTCCAATCACAAGAAAACTTTGGCGGTGAACAAACAGTTAACATCAGATCAGATAACGCTGATGAAAAATTTAGAAAGAGAACAGTTTACGAGTCCCCTGAGGTCGACGTACCGTTCCACCGATGCTGCAGAGAGACGTCTGGATGCAGGGGACAGGAAAGTTGATCCGACAGCCGCTGGAGTCACACCAGGCCTTCACTGACGCCTCAGGACCGTCTGTTACAGAACACACATCTTCTTTAGAAGATAAAGCTTTCATGTCACTCCCATTAAACAAACAGCTTCGGAAATTAAGATTTTATTTGAGCATTTTACATTTCAGGTAGGCCTGTCGCAATAAATCAATAAATCAATTAATCAATTAATCGTATGATAAATGAAAATTATCTACCTCGTTTTCATTTATCGGCTTTATCGCTTCATTGTGTCTCTCTTTCTGCTACTAAGCTGAGAAGCTAAGCTACGAGCTAAGCTAACAGGCCGACCTCGGGGGGGAAAAAAAACTCCATCTTGTCCAAGCACCAAAATTCACGGTTGAAACCCGTGCCTTTGTCTAAAAAGTTGTTTTTCTCTGCAAAAAGAAGCTGAGAACTTGTTTACTGATTTTTTTTTTATTAAAAGCTTTGTGTGAAAAATGCTATGCTAAAGAGCTCAAACCACACAGAGCGTCCGCCATTTTGAGAACTGAAGACAGACAGCCCATGTCACGTCAAGGGGCCTCCCTCCCATTTTTCTTAAAGAGCCACGCTGCTCGCTCCCTCACTATCCATCCTTCGGTTCAAACAATCTTCTACTGTCATCCAGTGGTCAAAAATGGTACTACACTCAAGACAAATTAAACATTTCCTCTTAAAATTGACAATAATTACTAATTATTGTCAAATTTCAAACAATATTATCGTTTATCGCGATAATTTCTGAGACAATAAATGACCCAGTAAAATCTGTTATCGTGACAGGCCTAATTTCAGGTTTTTCTTAATCCTTCCAGACATTCTTTAGAACAAACCTCTGTCATGTGTGGTGTTTTTCAGGAAAGAGGAGATATTTGGCAACCCCGCCTGTCATGAAAACTACAGCGGGTCCACGTAAACACGTTTTCTCATTTCTATTCACCACAATGAACTTTGAAAAAACACTAACGTTTCCAGAGATCATTCTCGTGTAAACAGGGCCTCAGAAATGTTGGTTTAAGACAAAAGAGAGGTCCTAAAAATAAAAAACACAACAGGAACTCGAAAAAACATCAGTTAATGCCACTATGACACGAAGAACTCGTCACGCTGAAGTGCGCTGTAAAAACACAGATCAACTTTATAATAGTAGCTTATTATTAGTTATTTGTTAACTGATCTCTTAATCCAGTGGTTCCCAACCCTGAGGAACACCATCCTGCATGTTTTAGTTGTTTCCCTGCTCCAACCCATCTGATTCAGTGATTTAATTACCGTACTTCTTCATGCTCTATAGAAGCCTGTTAATCACCCACTCATTAAAATCTGGTGTGTAGGAGCAGAGAAACAACTAAAACATGCAGGATGGTGTTCCTCAAGGACCAGGGTTGGGAACCCCTGTAATCAACAGCAAAGAGTGTCTGTCAGTGGCCAGCTGCTGCCAGTGTGAGGGTCATAACTGTAAATAATACAGATGCTATTTTTTAAGAAAGTCATATGTTGCTTGTATGCGTTTGTTGTTGTTTACTGACCCCAGAGGAGCTTCATTATCTGCCCGTCCTCCATCTGCAGAGCTACAGTTCCAGTCTGGGCGCTGTGAACCACACTGACCACAACACCGTCTACTTCCACCTGAGACCTGAAGCACAAAAAACAGCAGAAACATTAAAAACTGTAACAGCAGTGCAGGGCAAACTCAAAAATGAAGGGTGCTAAGTTTGCTGACCGGACAGCCAGTGTGTCCCCAGCATCATGACCCGGGTGAAGAATCATCAGAGTGGAGGAAGCCGGCAGCAGACCCGAACCGACGGCCAAAAACAGCTCATCCTGCAGCCACAGCAGCTGCCGCAGAGCCAGAGGCTCGTCCTGAGGAACAGGAAATCTGCAGCAAACACGACAGAATACAAGCTGAACAATAAATAAATAACAAACCTAACATGTTTAAATTAACCTTGAATGAAACGGAGCAGGACCGCGTCAGAAGACGACAGCACCTTCGGTTTTTGTTACCTGTAGGTTTTCTGAAGGTCAAGAGGTCGGCACACAGCCTCAAATCCATCGGTTGTTTTGTTCACCCGTTCTTCTGAATCTGGAACAATTGTTAAAAAAAAAAAAAAAAAAAGCCAAACAGACAAAACACACAAAGAACAAAAACACAAACAACTCGTTTTGAAATGAGTTTGGTTCATGGTGTCAAACAAGGATGTAATTCTTATTTTTATTTTATTTTTCTTATTAGGAACAATGTATTTTAAGAGGAAACTCAGTAACAAGAAATTCTTTTTTGTTTAAGGATCATGCTAATTATAGTAAAAAAAAAATTATTTTTAAATAAACAAAATACTATAATTTTTTTATAAATAAATACTATAAAATATATGTATATATATTTAAAAATATTTAAAGACCTTTGCTGAAAACTAAAATAAATATTCTGGTGGTAATTTCTCCATCGCATTTTCAAGGTTCTTTATTGTCGTTCTCATCACATGTGGTACATGAGGTGGAATGAAACTGTGCACCCAAGCACCCAGTTACACCCAAAACTAACAAAGTAATAAAGTAATTTAAAACATTTGTTTTGCTAACAGAATCCACAGTTTGTGATTTACCTTGATTGAAGAGTGAAACGTGTCCGTCAAGAGTGAAAGCTGCAATCTGATTGGTCAGAGTTGGTCGACACAGAAACATCACCTGATTGACAGGTGACTTTAACTGGAGCTCGAATGAACACATGGGAGGAGGAACCACACACTGCCTGAAGGTTGTCACCAGGACTTTGTCTAAAAAGAATCACATCCTGTCAGAGGAGCTGCGAGTTAATTGTGTTGTTTATCTTGTTGCTGCTTCCCGCACCTCCGTCGATCACAGCCACGCTGGCGTTGTCAGCGCTGTCCACTCCGGGGCTTCGCTCCGTCGTCCAGCCCCAGTCATAGGCGAAGCAGGTCCAGTTGTAGGTCACCACGTGGAGCCGTAGGGGGCGCTCCGTGTCCCAGCAGACACAGACCGGAGCTTTCTGAGGGTCTCTGCCAAAGTCCAGACTCTGCTTCAGGTACCAGTGGTAGTTTCCCACCGTCCACAGCTGGACTGCAGAGAAAACAACAAGCTAAAGTTTCATTCATCTCACTAATGTTTTCCTCTTTAAATAACTTTTAACATCTGTAACTTTTATCTTTTTCAAATTATTGAACTTTAATTTTTTCCCCATAGATATTGTTTTCTTTTAAATCTGCTTCAGATCTGCTGTATTTTTAACATCCAGTCTTTAGCTTCTTAGTTTTAGCTTTTAGCTAGTTTTGCTCATTTTAACTTTTAGCTATTGTTTTGCTGGTTTTAGCTTTAACCTACACTTTGCTAATTCTAAATTTTAGCTATGGTTTTGCTGGTTTTAGCTACACTTTGCTACGTCTAACTTTTAGCTATGGCTTAACTGTTTTTAGCTTTTATCTACAATTTGCTAATTCGAACTTTTAGCTATGGTTTTGTTGGTTTTAGCTTTAAGCTACACTTTGCTAATTCTAACTTTTAGCTAGGGTTTTGCTGGTTTTAGCTACACTTTGCTACGTCTAACTTTTAGCTATGGCTTAACTGTTTTTAGCTTTTATCTACAATTTGCTAATTCAAACTTTTAGCTATGGTTTTGCTGGTTTTAGCTTTAAGCTACACTTTGCTAATTCTAAATTTTAGCAATGGTTTTGCTGGTTTTAGCTTTTAGCTACACTTTGCTAATTTTAACTTTTAGCTATGGTTTTGTTGGTTTTAGCTTTTAGCTACACTTTCCTAATTTTAACTTTTAGCTATGGCTTAGCTTGTTTTGATTCTGTTTTGCTTATTTTAACAAACAATTCAGTTTCAGCTTCCTCAACAGTTTCTTTCAGAGTCATTCAGCAGACAACTTTTGAACTGCTGCTCACATTTTTCTAGTTATTATTTAGGCTTTATATTTAAAAACACTAAGTGCAGGAACAAAATACTGACCAAGAAACTTATTGATTAAAAAACTGCACTTACATGACATCAGTTTGGCTACTATACAACAAATTTTGGGGGTACCAAAAATACGTCTCGTAACTAGTAAACGTTGCGTACTACCAGCTATAAATGTTGGCGTCATATTTGCAGAACTCACTGTAAGTGTTGACATGTCCGTCCTCTCCAGCTGTCAGGTCCTCCAACCAAACAGCTAAAACTGCAGAGTCACTGTTCCACAGCAGCTCCTTCACCTAAAACACACCGGGGGATAATCTGATGTTACTGATCCACCGTTCGTTCCCAAGACGTGGTTTTTGGGTAATTAGCTGATTGTATTGAGGAAGAATGCAGCTTGTTGAAGGCTCAACGTGCCTTAGCTTGGTCTTTACTGAGCGGCAGAGGGAAGTCTCCATGGAGCAGTCCGTTCTTCTCCATGAACACCACACTGTGTTTGTTGGGATGACGCTGAGCGCTCGCGATCAGGCTGCCTGAAGGTCTGAAACAACGTGTCAGGCTGTGAAGCTGATGGACAGCTCTCATATTTACACAACAGTCTAAATTAAAGTGCCCGATGTTTTCAGTCAGAAACATAAACTACACACAGGAGAATCAGGAGAGGTAAAGAAAATTTACTGGCATCACAGGAAATTGTTTTTTTGGCAAAGCTCTTACTTCCAACAAAGAGCCTGCTCCAGGCCGTTGATGGGCTCGCTGGTGGTCTGTAGGACCCCCTCTCTGTTCCAGACCCGGACTTTCCTGGCTCCAGTCTGGGGACAGATGGCGCCGATGGCGAACAGCTGGCCGTCTCCTCGCCACGTGACCCGCGGCCTGCGATCGTCCCAGGCCACAGCTGGCTGCACCCCCTGTGGGTACGTGTTCACACCAATCAGAATAAATTAGTTGCATAAATGTCCAGGTAACCCCATGTTTAAGTGAACCACCACAGACCTGGAGCTTCTTCTGCGCCGCCTGCTTTCCCTCTGAGCCGTGGAACTGAGTCTCCTTTTTCCCCCAACCCACCGTGATGAACTTTCCTACAAAACATCAAAACCCATGTCTTAACGCCACTAAAGGAAACGTCTACGTCTTCTGTACTTCATGAAGCTCTTTTGGAGTGAGGATACCTTCACCAAAATCATCCTGGTGAATTCCCACCTCTGTGATGGGTTCAAAGTCTTTGGTCATCATAATGATCGTTTCCTGACCTGCGAACACAAATCATCTTTGATTTCTTTGAATAAAAACACTCATGAGCATTTTTAACATCAATGATAAACAAGTGTCTAAATATAAACTACGATCAGTTCCTCTCGTCCGTCTAAACGTTCTCTACGACAGCAACGTTCCAGGTTTTTAACTTTTATTGCCTGGTACGGCAGCCACCTGTTATTATCCACCTGCCAAGGGTTTCTTAACTTTGTATCTTACTATTCCGTCAACTTTAATGAAGCCCAAACTGCAACGAGTGCCCCACGAATGTTATATCAAAACGACCGGCTCGACACCGTGATGTGTGCCATTACTTTTATTGGTATTTCCAGTTACCATGGCGACATAATTTGCTAACAAAGATGCCATTTTTCTCAGAACTCCACAGCTTCTAACTGCCACAGTGAGGCCACATGGAGAGGTCTCTGAACAAAATACTGATTAACTTTTGGAGCCATTTTGGTTCAAGATGGCTGCCACAGCTACCTCAGGAATCTCAAAATTGATTATAACCCAGTCATTCTTTGAGCTATTGAGCTGAGTTTTGTATGGTTGTAGCTTAGAGTTGTTATACATTCTTAATGCAAATTAAAAATCCAAGACCTTAGCTGAGAGGGTAAAAAAAAGATAAAGCAGCCATTTAAAAAGATTTTAAGTTGAAATTTGGTGAGGTGGTAGCTGAGAGCGAACCCAAACGCATAGTACTGTCAAAGTTTCTCCAGGAACTTTCTAGTATAAAAATACTGCACCACTTTGTTTTTGTTTTTTTTATGTTTGCAAATAGACCTGTCACAATAACACATTTTGCTGAGCAATTAATTGTCTCAGAAATTATTGTGATAAACGATAATATTGTTTAAAATTTGATAAAAATCACTAATTGTCAAATTTTGGAAGAAACGTTTAATTTGTTTTGCATGTAGTACCTTTTTTGACATCAGATGGCAGTATGACTGTTTGAACCGAAGGATGAATAGTGAGGGAGCGAGCAGCGTATCTCTAAGAAAAATGGGAGGGAGGCCCCTTGACATGACATGGGCTGTCTCTCTTCAGTTCTCAAAATGGCAGACGCTCGATGTGGTTTGAGCCCTTTAGCATAGCATTTGTCACACACAACTTTTAATTAAAAAAATCAGTAAACAAGTTCTGAGCTTTTTTTTTTTCAGAGAAAAACAACTTTTTAGACGAAGGCACGGGTTTCAACAGTGAATTTTGAGGCTTCGACAAGACAGAAGTTTTTCCCGATGTCACCCTGTTAGCTTAGCTCGTAGCTTAGCTTCTCATCTTAGCTGCTTTTAACGATCCAAAAATACGATTTTGGATGGTTAAAAAAAGGGAGGGATCAGAGAAGAGCACCGGAGTTGAGCTTTTTATCATCCAGTGTCTTCAGTAGAAAGAGCGAGACATGAAGAAACGATAAAGCCGATGAATGAAAATGAGGTCGATAATTTTCATTTATCATGTGATCAATTGATTTATTGTTTATTGCGACAGGCCTATTTGAAAATGACAAAATGAGTAGAAACTACTTAGGACTAGTTTTAGACCAAGACGACAAGAGACAGAGGTCTATAAAACACATACATACATACATACATACATACATACACACATATATATATATATATATATATATATATATATATATATATAGGTGTTGTACGACACACAAAAAAAAGACTGAATTGAACTATTACAACCTCCTCACCATAATAAATAAAAGTGCAACATACGAACCAGTAGTGAGAACGACAAGCTCTTCATCAGGACTCCAGCTCATGGAGGTAAGACCACTGTCAACACTGCCAACACACTCCATCTGTGGAACATTTAGGTTTAATTTAGAAAAAAACAAAAACTATTTTTCATGATCTTAACTCCCAGAGTAATCTTAAAACTATTCCTTCTAAATAAACAGTACTTTGACTAAATTATTCATCACCAACCTGGTTGGAGTTGAGGTTGAAGAGAACAACATCGCCACCTGCTGTGGCCAAACACGCAGACTGAAGCTCAGCCAGGTCCTGCAGTCCGACCACCACCCCGCTGCCATCCTCGGGGAGGAACCCGTCTTCTGTCAGCGAGGCTTCACACACAACCTGAAGAAGACAACGAGAAGGGTTCAGGCTACGAACACGTCACGTTTAATGTAACAGGGACAAGGACTGCACCTGGCCAGAGCGAGGGTCAAACTCTGTGATGGAGAACTGAGAGGCGACCAGCAGTGAGCCAGAGTCAGCCCGGACACAGAAACACTGCGGGGAGCCGAGACCCTGCAGCTCAGAGCTCCTTAAACTCTTCAGTAGCTTTAAATTCCTCATCCCACTTCAGGCTTTGGTCCTGAGATGAAAGACGACCTGAAAAAACATAAATACAACTCAATAATGATGTTGATAGTAAAGTAAAACACATGGCAGGACAAACAGCTGTGGATTAACTTGTGGTGCCATTTCCACAATAACAAACACGAAACGCTCCAGTTTTGTCTCATCGGTCCTGAACCTCTAGGCATTCGTGCATCTTCAAGCATTATCTGGATATTTTACAATTGTTTTCTAGCAGTATTGGATCCCGGTGACGTGGGAGTTCAGCTGGAACGGTTTTATCTTTTTACATCATCTGCACTTTGATCAACCAGCGGTCACATGTTCCAAGAACCTTCTACTTTTCAATAATCTTGGTCAGAGGGATATGAAGATGCTCAGAGATGGTCATGTAGTCTTTATATACCTTTAACATTCATATCTATAATCTTTTTTTCTGAGCTCCTAGACAAACGTTACCGTTGCTTTCTCTGCTCCACATTCAGTGTGGTGCACACACCTAACTATCCAGAGGCTGTTTGGTCCCTGTAAACAGCTAACTTGAAGGCACCTGTATTAATAACTCTAGGTCCAACAGTTTTAAAGCATGAAAATAAAAATGCAAAGATGATTTAAGTTCACCAACAAATCTGTTCAAACTATTTTAGCATATCTTTGCAAAATAACTGAACAAATATTCTAGTTTCACTTTTTTTTGTTTACTCTATTACATACTGAAGTCATGCATATATAATTAGAGAACTGCTTTTAAGTGGATCACTGAGACACTCCCTGGGTTGGAAACCACTCTCCCCCAAAGCCGGAGTGCTCATGCGCATGCGCCATAGCAACGTAAGGGACCACTACATTTATTCGTGTCTGGACACCATCAGTACTGCACAAAACAAAGTGAATAACAGTGGTACTGAAGGCATAACATTGCTGTAGACGTTTGGAAATCTATAAACTGCACAAGACTAAATTAAACAATAAACCTTTCAGGTTTTACTTGAATTTCTCTGAAACTCACTGTCCGTCACCGGTAAACATTCGCGTCACCTCTGCAGCAATACTGGCACCAAACAGACTAGAATACAGCCGACATTCAAAAGCAACATAGCTTTATACAATAAGACTTTCCATCTTATGATTACTGGATTTATCAACAGTTTAACGCAACGAACTGGAACTTTACAACAGGCTGTCCTAAAATGGAACTAGGTGCATTAGCTTCTTTAGCTGTAAATAATGAGGAGGCCCAAACGAAAACCGGAAGCTTAAAGAAAACGTGATGGACACGTTCAAAACTCACCGCGAAGACGCGACTTGAAGCTGTAAATTATGTTGAATGTTCAGAATCGACACAAGAACAACAACACCCACGTGGTTCCGCCGGACTCACGTCTTTTGGTCGCGCAGGCAGGTGTGACGCTGCGGCGGTGGTGCCCCCTGGAGTCGAGGAGTGAAACTACATAAATTACAGCGCCCCCAGGAGGCTAGGAGGAAAACTACA